ACCAAATAAAAATAGCGACGAGACGAGAAACTTTCCCAGAAATACAGAATATATAATCGAAAACAAAATGATAACATTTATCTTTTTTTTTTTAGATTTTCGATTTTTTTTCTATTCTTTGTAAAATATTTATCGACGAAAAAAGAAACGAACATTATCGTTGTTGTTGTTGTTGTTGATTTTGGAACTATCATCATCATCAACAACAACAACAACAACAACATCATCATTGAATAAAAGCATCATTTTGTTGTTGTTGTTGTTGTTTATCATTGGCAATTTTATGATGATGATGATGATAATGGTAACAGCATGCTCTATTCATGATTTCCTAATGATTAGTGTTTCTATCATCATCATCAACATTGAATTCTTTGCAGGAAAAATAAAAAATAAATTCTTTTCCATTCTGGTAATGTATGTGTGATGAGGATGATGAGAATCGAGAATTTCATGAATTCTGTATACACCATATTCCTTTTGGCATCCCCAAATAACTATTTGCTGGTGATTTGTTGTTTGTCTATGACGGTCGTGGTGGTGGTGGTGATGGTGGTGGAGGGTTTTTTGAATGATTTTTTTCTCTCTTCCCACATTTTTCATTTAACACTAAACTAGCACTAAACTAAATCATCATCATCATCATTTCCTATATTCAGTATTTTTTTGCTGGAAAACTAACCAAAATAATATTCATAATGTGCGAATAAAAAAAAAGTGAGATAAAAAAAACGAAGAAAATTTTTCAAAAAAAAAAATAATGCTTGTTTCAGGAGATGCGGTTTTGGTTTTTAGTCTTTTCTCGAGGATAGGGGTAGAGAGAGAGAGAGAAACATTGAACGATTCAATTCAAAATTACAATTTTTTTTCATTCGTTTTGGTTTTAAAATTAGTTTACCAAAAAAAAAAAAAAAAAAAAAAAAAATTTAATCGCGTGATAAACAACGATGATGATGATGAAGATGTTTTTTTTTTAAAAAAAAGGTTGACATGAATTGAATTGAATGAATATCTTCATTATGTAAAGTAAGAAAAAAACTTTTTCTTCAATTTCCGAAAATCTTTTCTTTTTTTTTCGGGAGAAAAAAACGCATATTTTTCTCATAAATGTTTTTTTTTGCAATGAAAGATTGGAAAAATATTTATTCCTTTAAACTTTCTTTCGTTGATTTCGAAAAAACTTTCACTAAAATTTTCATAATTTTTTTTTCTTGTAAAACAACAACAACAACAACAACAACAAGAATATTCTGTCATTTCCTTTTCTATTATTTCCTTGTTTTTATTAACCTTATCCGAAGAATTTCTTTTTCTTCTTTAGACAGTCAGATAGAATGAATGAATCAAATCAAATCATCATATAGATTCGGTTCAATTCTGTTCGATTCCGGATTTTTTTCCAATTGAATTTCGATTGAATCTTTTATTCAATTTGTTTTACGATTCTATACGATTCTCTATACAAACAAACAAACAAACAGAGGAACACTTCATTAACGTATCACGAGGAAAGAATATTCTTCTTCCCTTTCTATGCGCGATTCTTGTTTTGTTTTGTACCAAACTTCCTTTCTTTTTTCTTTTCGATTCAATTATCATCATCATCATCATCATCATGGTAGATTTCTCGATTTGCGATTTCGTGATTTCATTTCATTTGGATTTGAACTTTCTTCTCTCCGATCACTCAAGTGATGATGATGACCAATATCGACAAAGAATTTCAACAAAACAAACAAACATAAAGGCCAAACAATTTGAAAAAATTCCATTTCCCACGAGATTCCTCAGAAAAAAAGAATCAAATTTCAATGTCAGCCAGTCAATCGTTCGGTTTCAATTTCAATTTGGCGGCAATTATCCAGCGCAATGTGAACATTGTGAAAATTTTGTTTTCAAAAATACAAAACAAACGAAAGAAAGAAATGATAAACTGGATTAATTTTCCTTAATCTTTTCCCCTCGTTGTTTTGTTTTGTTTTTTGTATTTACGGAAGCAAACCAGACTAAACTCAAAGTTAATTCTTCTCTCATTTCTTTCTCTATCGATTACAAATCTACCGAAATGTAATTTTGTAATTTTGTTTTCGGATAATTCCATAAGATTTTTATTTATTTCTTTCGCCCCGTCTATCAGTAAATAGTTTCCAATTTTGTTTCATTTTGCCGGTTCTTAAATGTTTTTTTTATCCCCAAGAAACAAAACAAAAAAGATAATAATAAAAAACAACAACAGAAGCAGAAAAAAACATACGAAAAACGAATTGGAAACATCCAGATGAAAATACAGAAACACACAGAATACAGAATAATAATAAAATAAAGGAGAATTACGTAAATCCATTTACAAAATGGTTATTAGTTTCATATTTTTTTTCTATAGTTTTGTTTTAATTCTTTTCGTTTTGAGTCCAATTTTGATCCAAAAGAATCGACAAAACATGATGTTTTTTTTCGGGGATGTTTGAATGATAATAATAATAATAATAATGATTCCAATCCATTTATATTGATTTTTTTTTCTTGTTTTCTGAATCCATATATTTATTATGATTATGATTTTCCGCTTGTTTTCTTTCTGGAAAGATTTTTTTCTTTTTCAGTAAAGTTTCCAACTTGATTCCAAATATTCATTAATTCTTTGTTCAAGTTTCATTATCATTAATTTGACTAATTGGAATGAAGAAAAAAGAAAAATTATTTATTTGCAAGAAAGATTTCCTGTAATTTGACATTTCATCCTTTCTTGGAAAGTTTCCTTCTTTTACTCAATCCAAAGAAAAGTTCCTGATGTGATGGATTTATTTCCTTCTTCATCATCAAATGAATCTGGGAATTTTTTTTCTCTTTCACTTGCCTGCAAAAAAAAACTAATTAGAATCTTAAATACTCATCGTCACTGTCAATTCACACGACGACGACGAGGAAGAAAAGTTTCCGAAACGAAAAAAAAAGGATAAGAAACTTGACAAAAATCAAAAATCAAAATGAAAAACGATGTTAGTCGGCTGCTGTTGTTTGATGATGAAATGAATTGTTGTTGACAATCTTCAAGATTTTTTTTTTTTTCGTTGTTGTTGATCCTTTTTTTTATGCAGTTTATTCATATCATATTAAGATGTTGGTTGAGTGAAAAATAAAGTATGTGTCTCTGTGTGTGTGTCAATTAATCTTTTTATTCACAATTTTCTTTTTTGTTTCTTGAAAAATTTCCCTTATGTCATTGCAGGGTTAATCCTTTCGTTATTTTATTTTTTTTTTTGAGTGATAAATGAAAAGTACGAAAAAAGAAATTGAGAAAATAAGTAATCTGATCTTTATCATTATCATCACCAATTTTTTTTTTTTTTGGTTTATTGTGAAATATGATTCATAGTTCAGTGAGGTTAGGTTGATGACAATGACTATGACTATGACTATGATTCATAGTTGAGTGAGGTTAGGTTGATGACAACGACTATGGCTATAGCTGTGATTCATAGTTCAGTGAGGTTAGGTTGATAACAATGACTATGGCTATGACTGTGATTCATAGTTCAGTGAGGTTAGGTTGATGACAATGACTATGGCTATGGCTGTGATTCAATGTTCAGTGAGGTTAGGTTGATGACAATGACTATGACTATGATTCATAGTTATGTTAGGTTAGGTTGATGACTATGACTATGACTATTATTCATAGTCAAGTGAGGTTAGGTTGATGACAATGACTATGACTGTGATTCATAGTCAAGTGAGGTTAGGTTGATGACTATGCCTATGACTATGATTCATAGTCAAGTGAGGTTAGGTTGTCTACACAATTGGTATAACCGGATCATAAATCAAAATCGATAATTTCGTTCATCACATTCATTCATTATTCTTTTTCTTTTTTTCATTCTTTTACCACTCCTCCACACATGCAAACCAGCGTATTTTTAAAAATGAGAAAAAAATCAATTTCCGTTCATCTTCTACATTATTATATGCCACTTCTACTACATTTCGATTCCTCTATATATATCCTTTTTTGATGAATTGAATCAAACAAAATGAGCATGCTCAGTGTAAAAAGGGATCATTTTATTGTGTTCTCATCATCATCATCGTCATCAACCTTGCTTGCTTGCAAGATTGATGATGATGATGATGCAAAGAGAGATGAGAGTCTGGTTAATAAATTCAACAACGTATATTTTGGAAATGAAAAGTAGTGGTATGAATGAAAGTTAAACATTGTGTGATTACAATTACAATCGATCATCATCATCATCATTATTGCTCACTTATCTTTGTCCTGTGTGTGCAAATCAAAAAAAAAAATTTCTGTATGCGTGTCTTCAAAAATTTGTAATTTCTTAACAACTTTTTTCTTTTAACCAAAAGAAAAAGAGAAAAACGCCAATAAGAGATATAGGAGAGAGAGAGAGACACAAGACCAAAGTGCTCGTCGTTCAATAATCGTCATTTATTGCAATTTTAATTTTGTCTCCCAAAAAATTTTCTATCCAAACATCCATTATTGGATTTGGATTTTCTGTTTCTGTTTTTTTTTGTTATTCAAAACAAAAAAAAATCAATCCTCATCTTCATCACATCCATTCTAATCGTTTGTTTTGAAATTTTGAACCAAAATAATAGTTGAAAAAAGTCAGCCACGAATTGTCAACTTTTTTGTTTTCTGTTTTTCTTTTAAATTTCAATTTGAATTTATCGTTTTCACTTTCCACTTGGTTATCCATTTCAACTTTTCACATCAAAAGGTAAGCATCATCCTCATCGCTTTCAACAGATTTTTTTCGAATGACAAGCGTGCATATAATGTGCGTTTTATTTTTTTTCTTTGCATAACATTCGATTTTTTCTCCATTTTTTCGAATTTTTTTCATAAATTTTTCGTTTTTTTCCCCATGATTTAAAATCATCATCATCATCACAATCCCTTCGATTGAATCTTGATAATTTTTTTCGGATTTGATTTGGATAATAATAATAAACAGAAGATTATCATTTGAAAAGTCCCATAAATTTGTTCGTTTTTTCCCGATTCCTTTGTTTTTTTAAGTTGTACGTATTATTTATTTAATTATCGAAACCCTGTTATAAGAAGCAACAATAATTATAATTGAATTTGCTTTAAATTTGTTTGTTTAATTAATTGAAAATTTTTATTTATATTTATTTATAGCAAATAGATTTTTGTTTACCATCGATTGTATGAATCAAAAAGCAGAGAGACCAACACTCCAAGGTCAACGAATTAAGACCAGGAAAAGAGGTAAGGGATATTTGTTTCATAATTATTATTGTTTTTTCGAAATGTCAAAGTTGAATTGATTGGTAAATGGAAACATCATCGATTAGGTGACAATCTTTATCCATAATTCTTTCTATATACATTGTGCGCACACATTCCATTTTGGGTCAACCTAAATTTCCTATAGCTATTTTATTGGATTGGTGATGATATATAACGTTTGATTCGAAAATAGATTTTTTTGTTTTCGTTTTTTTAATCCGTTTAATTTTTAATGTTTGTATCTGTACGACTGTTGTGCCTGTGTCATGAGAATAATCACTTAATGGATTTCTCTTCATTTTTCAACCGGACAATATAAATTTGGTCGATATCAACGAAAACACACATTCACCAAATATATTCCAATCGGATGGAAACCTGTTAGTCCCGTTTTTTTCTGCTTCACTTTGATGTGTGTTTGTGCAGGTTGTTTAGTTTCGTCATTCGCTTGTTGGTGTGAATTCCATTTTTTTATTTTGACATTCGGAAAAATTATTTAGTGATGGTTCTATTTTTAGCTTTTGTCCGGTTTTCCGTCGTTTTTTGCTCGACCAAATCATCCCTCATTGATTTTTTTTTCTATACAAGAAATTTAACCTATTTTTTTGTTTTTTTTTCATGATAACAACAAATAACAGATGAAAAGGAGAAATTCGATCCACAAGGATTCCGTGATTCGATTATACTTGGCATCAAAGAAACAAACGGCGATCTTGATCAGCTTTCGAAATTTCTCGACATCTCTGGATCAAAACTAGATTATCGTCGTTACGGTGAATCATTGTGTGACATATTGATTGCTGGCGGTCTATTAGCACCCGGTGGATCAATATTGACCGATAACGAGCCTGAACAAACATACACCGAATATTCGGTATTTGGACGACCATCCGATGACGAATCAGTGAAACAATTTGTTTCATTAGTATTTGTTCGTCTCATACGACGATATAAATATTTGGAAAAATCATTGGAAGAAGATTTGAAAAAGATTGTTGTCTTCTTACGTGCATTCACCGCCGATGATCGTCTTAAATTGGCTAAATTGTTGGCCTATCTATTGGCATCCGGTCATATTTCGATCGCACCATTGAAAAAATTGCTTGAACAAGATCTATTGATTAAAGAAGGTTACGGATTCGAATTTTTGTTGCAGGTATTGCAAACTTGGCAAAATGAAAAAGATGCATCCACTGTTTGGACTGCATTGCGAAAATCAGGAGTCGATTCGAAATTGTTGGATTTTTTGCCAAAATCCAAACGTAATCAGGAAACATTCAGCAAATCTATGCTCGAATATGGATTACAACAATTGTTGGCCTATCAGGAGGTACAACGAGTGGAAACGTTGAAGAAAGAATTATCGCAAGAAATTCAAACTCAAATCAATGAAAATGGTTCAACACCCAAAGAATTGATCAGTATCATTAAAGATTATATGACAGAATATTCATTGACTGATACTGAAGTTATTGTTATCTTATGGAATACATTAATGAGTATGGTCGAATGGAATAAAAAAGAAGAGTTGGTTGCCGATCAAGCTATGAAACATTTACGGGTCTATATACCATTATTTGCTGAGTTTACTAAAACCAACAAAGCTGAAATGTCATTAATGTTACGTATACAGGATTATTGTTATGAAAATATGAATTTTTTGAAAGCCTTTCAGAAAATCATATTCCTCTTCTATAAGAACGATGTCATCAGTGAAGATGTTATTCTTCGTTGGTATAAAAAAGATCATTTGCCAAAAGGTAAAAGTATCTTTTTGGAACAGATGAAAAAATTTATCGATTGGCTTATGAATGCTGAAGAAGGTAAGTTAATGCTAAGTGATTAACGCAATTTTTTCTCATTGAGTTTTTTTTCACTTGTAGAAGAATCAGAAGAAGAATGAATGCAAATCGATTTAATGATTGGTCCAAAATATTAATTATAATCTATGGATATTCATGTTTACACACACACACACAAAACACCTTTACCCATTTAATAAACATTTTTGTTTGTTTACTTTATATCTCATCATATTATTTTAACCACCATCCATACACAAAAAATGAAAATTTTTACAAAAAAATATCCTACATCCAAAATTTATTACTTAATTTTTAATTTTTTTAATTTTGTTGAGAAATTTTAAATTTGATTAAGAAAATTAATCGTGTGTATGTGTACTGTGTGCTATTTGATTGAACCAGATTACAAACCATCCAACAAACCACTTTATTTCTCTTTTACCCTTTTCTTAACTCTACTTGTTTTTCTCTGATGGCTATTCAATATTTGATCCAAAATAAAATTATTTCAAAAAAATGTACATTTACTTGAAAATTTTGTCCATGCAAGACTAGATGGCGATACTGGTTTCGAAAAGAATGAAAAATTGGCGTAAAAAAATGAAAAGGTTTTGATAACAAATAAAATGAATGAAATGACAATTTTTTAAATGGCAATTAAGTGCAGTGATATAAATTGATTTTCAATCTTTTATGACATTTTTAGTTGATAATTTTTTGGGGAAAGTTTCATTTAAAATGATAAACTGATTCTTTATGGCCTTTTATGTTTCAAAAAGCAAACACGAGTCCAAATTATCATTATTATTATTTTTTGGTTGTAAATCCAAAAAATGTCAAGATTTATAAAAAGCGTAGACATCTTTTTGGATATTGTTTTTTTTTGTTGAGATAATGGTCATGGGAAATATTTTGGATCGACATTCATCATCTTCATCGTCCTTGTCATCAAAACCGATTGCCCAAAATGAAATGAAAACGGATTCAAAATCTATTCCAGCAACAACAACAAAAATCACAAAATCAAATATGAAACGACGTTCGATGAGTGATGATAACAAACGCAATTTAATGAATAATATCGATATGAAACAATTATTTCCTAATTTGAATAATGATAATCATCATCAACAACTACAACAAACGATTGAAAAATTTCAAAAAGAAATTGATGAATTGCAACAACAATTTGATCGTCTAAATTATTTGGAAAATAAACAACGACGAAATACATTGCCAAGGAATCGAACCGATTATCATCACACCAATAATAATAATGATTTATCAATATTTCAAAAGCAAATCAATGAATTGGAAAGACAATTGACAATGTTGAACAATTCTAAAGATTAGTATTTATTTGAATGATTATTATTATTATTATTAAAATTTCAAAGGTTATTTCAAATCCAAATGTTTTCATTTTTCAATTGATTCGTTTGGCTTTTTTCTCAAATGTTGATTGAGTTGTTGCAAATTATTTTCGGATAACGATAACAAATATAAACACATATCCATAAGGTTAACAAGATTGTTTTCAATCTCTTTCAATTCATTTAATCGATTTTCTATGCATCGAATTTGTTTTGTTCTCACGTCAATTTCATATCGCAACATTAATTTTTGATTGAATTTTTCTATTGATTCTTGCAATTCTTTACGAAAATCTCTCATTGATTTTTTTTGTTTTGGATGTTTACTATTAATTTGAATTTGTTTGAATATTAATTAAAAAGAATTTAATTTTTATAATTTTACTTACTCATTTTTGTTGTTCTTAACTGATGGTTTGATTTCTTTATTTCCCATAGTTGATCCTTATATCCAATTCCCGAACGATGAGTTCAAGTAAAAATATAATTTTGATATTGTCAATTTTGATTAGTATCGAAGCGAATCTCAAATTCATATGACCAACACAACAAACAAATCAAATCATTTTTTGGTTGGATTTAAACAAAGCATCAAGCTTCCCAAATATTCAAACAATGTTTTCACAAAAACACAAGCAAAAAATTTTTGATTTGCTTTGTGAGTTGCAATACACACATATTCGATTGACAAAATACATGATATGATCAGAATGTATCACCATTAATTAAAATCTGGTTTTTAGTTATTTATTAAACAAAAAGGAATCCTATGCCATGAATAGAATTGGATAAAAAAAATACAAAGAAAAATCATAATAATCGAAAAGAAAAAAAAGAATAACAACGAAAAAATAGACAATTATTTTTTAAAAATATTCTTTGAGAAAGAAATGAACATTTTATCAAGATGAGTAGAATATGATTTCTTTTGAATGTAATTTTTTTCGAAAATCAGGTTATTTCAAATCAGAAAAAGATCTGTTTTTTTCAATTTATTTGTTTGGTTTTTTTACTGGAATGTTCAATAATCAACAAAATTTCTTTATTTTCCTCAATTTTCTTGTCCAACAATTGTTGTAAATCATGAAGTTTTTCGATTAATTTTTCGCCAATTAATTTTTGATGAAAATTTTCCGTACGAATTTCATTATTCAATGATTCCATTTTGGGCATATAATGAAAAATATGAACATAAATCCATATGGCTAATATAAGGATTACAAAGACATAACAAATATTTTTTCTTTCTTCTAATTCTTTTTCCAACAATTTAATTCGGTCTGTTTTCGAATTACTTTCGGCTTTACATTGATTCAATTCATCATTCAATTTTTGTTCCATTGGCTTTTTTTGATTTTGATGTTTACTATTCATTTGAACATTAATTGGAAAGAATTAAATTTATTTCTATAATTTCACTTACGAATTATTGTTGTTCTCAACTGATGGTTTAATTTCTTTATTTCCCATAGCTGATACTTATATCCAATTCCCGAACGATGAGTTGTTTTGATATTGACAATGTTGATAAGTATCGAAGCGAATCTCAAATTCATATGATCAAAACAACAAACCAATCAAATCATTTTTGTTGAATTCAATCAAGGCATCACAAGCATACAAAACATTCAAACAATGTTTTCACAAAAACAAAAGCAAAAATCTTTGTGAATGCACACATAGATTGACAAAATACATTATTCGATGATATGATCAGAATGTATCATCATTAAGGAAATTTACAAACAAAAATCCTGTAATCAATTTTTAATTAGCCAAAAAAATGGTTGCATATAAAAAACTTTAATTTTGAATTTTTCAAATATGAAATTAATAGAGAAATAAAAAAAATTTATTTTGAATACAATTTTTAGCTCATAGGTCGACTAGTATCGGTTGGTGATTCAATCAACATTTGGCTATTATCTTTATCATCTTCTTCACCGGTATCAGCCCCAATTGCACCAATATATTCTAAATATTTTTTAACAATAACCGGCCAATTAATAACTTCGGTAATTGGTTTTTGTGTTTCCGTATCATCGGCATATGTTTGTCCAAATGTACGACTAATATGACTGGTTGCACGTGATGCACGACGACCACCTGCACCACCAACAGCGGCAGCCACTGCACCCGTACCGGCACCACTTTGTAGCCATTTTTGTGTAGCCACTACGGATGGACGATGTGCTAATGCTGCTGTTATATGCATTCCTTTTTTTCGATCTTGTCGTAAAGTTAATAATTTGGACATAATCTGATATGGTAGACCAATAAATATATTGATTGGTGATGGTGTTGGTGATGTAAGTGTCATATTTCGTATTAATTTTGCTCGGCCAAATTTCCATTCAGTATCTGATTGTGCCTGTATACGTTGATATGTATTGGACATCATAGCGATCAATAGATTAATCAATACTATAACAGTAACCATCATGTAAACACCGAACACTAATTTCATTATTATTTTTGCAACAGGTGGGCTTAGATGCATTGGCGGCATATAATCCGGTTCAACAAGACCAAACAATGCAAAAAATAACATTTCAAATGTATCTAATGGATTTTGAAATTCTTGTCCAAAACTTGGCAATGTTCCATTCACTGTATCCGGTGGTTCGAATACTGGTTGATAAATGGCACAAATATGCAAAGAAAATCCAATCATAAATATTAATAAAATAGCTAAAAATCTGAGCAAATCTTTGATTAGATCACGAATAATAACTGCCCATGGGCCAAATAAATGATGAAATGTTAGAAAATTAAGAAATTCCAAAAAGGACAACAATAATGCAACGGCCAATAATTGATTACGTAAATAAAGCATAACTAAACGTGTTACTTCTTCGAAATATTCAAAATATCCGGTTATTACGGTTAAAATATGTACAATAACAGCCATAAAACAAACCGATACCACAACAACTTTGATGCCACCAAGACCATCACGATCAGCCGGATTAGTAACTTCAGCCAAGAAAATGCCCAATACCCATACTAATAATAGCCATTCATGCCAATATGGAAATTGTCCATCATTCATATAGATTGGTAACCATGGATTAACGGTGGTTATTGTTAATATAACAATAAAAAATATATGCGATACGAGGTAGAGTGTAAATTTGATGATTGGCATTTTACTTAAACGATGACCAAATGGACATGATATTAATATCCATATGAATGGACATAATAACATTGAAAAAAATAATATTATAAATTTCCAACCAGCCCATTTCATCGTGCCCATCCAAACATTGGTCAGATATTGTTGTACAGCATGTTGTGCAACAACCTCTTTACGTTCCAATTCGATTAAAACATCCAAAAATTCTGTACCTTTATAATCGATTGCACGTAATAATCTACCGGCATTGTTTGTTGTTGCTGTTATTGATAATAAATCGGTTGCAATTTGATCACAATAGTGATAAACAGTTTCTAAATCACGTGTACGATCTTTTTCTTTTTGTGCTAAATTTTCATAACTTTTTGCTAATTTTACAGCTGTATCGATTGGTGCCGATGAAACCAGAATAAATTCTTGAATTGGTTTATTTTCATGTTGTTTGGAACAGACCATCAGATCAAGTAGAAACTATTTTTGTTGGGATAAATTAGATTAGATTGATTTTGTTTAAATTCAGAAACAACATACATCACGATCTTCCATCAGATTCAATGTATCATGTTCTTTTTTAAATAAATAACTTAATACTTGATAATGTCCAGCACCGGCAGCACAACACATTGGTACACGGCCATCTTTTGAATGTAAATCAGGATCGGCACCCGAATCCACTAAAAGCTGTACAACATCAAGAAAACCATGTCGTGATGCATAATGTAATGGTGACCATCCTCTCTAAATTCATTGATTGAAAAATTAGTGTAAAAAGAAATTCGTTTTTTGAAAAGAGCTTACATTATCTTGTGAATTGATATTGGCACCTTGTCCCAGCAGTAATGAAACCATATCACGATGACCAAATGATGCTGCTAAATGTAATGGTGTGCGGCCATATTTATCTGCACGATGTAATTGTTCACTAGTACGACTAATTAGTAGACCGGCAACAAGTAAATGACCACCTTGTGCTGCCATATGCATTGGTATTGTACCGACTACTTCGGTTGGTGCTTCAACCTGTACACCTTTACTATTCAATAATAATCGTACAACATTTTCATGACCACTTTGTGATGCTAAATGTAATGGTGTTATGCCATACTATATTCAATAAATTATTAATTCAATGAATTTGACAAAACAAAAAACAAATCACTAACATCACCACTTGGATCAATTAATGGACGTTCACTTTTAATTGTAGCCGGTACAATTGGTAACATTTCACTAACACATTCGGTCTGACCAAATGCGGCGGCAACATGTAATGCTGTCAGGCCAATCTGTAATCATTTTGGGATTTTGGAATCAAAATTCTCATACAAACTTTGAAAGGAAACTTACACGACGACTACAAACTTTCCAATAGGCAGTGGATTGTTCTTTCAATGCACGTAATACATTAACATGTCCTTTTTTTGCCGCTAAATGTAATGCTGTATAACCTTCAGCATTTTCATCGGTTGCTTTTGCACCGGCCTGTAATAATGTCCGAACAACTTCAACATGACCACCTTCAGCTGCCAAATGTAATGTTGTTGATTTTGTTTTCTGTTATTTGTGATTGATTTTTGAGAAGCAAAAAATTGAACACAGAGAAATTATTGTATATTTTTTGAAAAATTTACCGAAATTCTCGCATTAATCACTGAATCTTGATTGAGACGCATCAATTCTTTAATGACAGCAACCGAACCTTTTGCTGCAGCAATATGTGCACAAGTATAACCATTACGATTTGGTACCGATAATAAATCTGGTTTATGTTTTAAAAATAATTTTACAACTTCCGAATGATCATGTTCGGCAGCTAAATGTAATGGCGTTTGTGAATGCTGCATCGATAATAATGAAACAATTTCAATTTTTAAATAAATTTAAGAAAACAGAAAAAATCCACTCACATTATCAATGGCTAATGCATCGGCTTTTAATTCTAATAATGTTTCACAAACAGCTAGTTGACCAGCTTCAGCTGCTAAATGTAACGGTGTTTGTTTAGTCTGTCCAAATGAAAATCCGAATTAATAAATTGATTTAAGATTTTGAAATGTCACTTACCAATGTATTGGCATCCAACAAGGCACTATGTTCGGTGACCAAACGTTTAACCATATTATTATAGCCTTTACGTGCAGCCAAATGTAATGGTGTCATACCATTCTTATTACGAACATTAACAAATGCATTTGATTCTAATAATATTTCAACCACTTCTTCCTGACCAATTTCAGCTGCAATATGTAAGGCAGCTTGTCCACGCTAATTACAAATCATTGATTGATTGAAACATTAATGAACAATCATTTCATCAATCAAATTTACCTCATCAAATATATCGACACGTGCATTTTGATTCAACAACATTCGTATTGTATCGGCATGACCACGTGAACATGCATAAAATAATGGTGTCCATCCTGACTATTTGTTTCATCGAAAAGAATTGAGTTAATCGATTATAAATGAATGATCAAAAATGACATACTTTGGCCGTTTTATTACAAGCTAATTGAGCATCAAGCGGTGGTAAAAAGCTAATAATTTCTTGTAATGCATTCGTATTGCCAGATTTACTACAATAATGTACTGGTGTTTCAGATTTTTCAATAGTTTCAAGAAAAACATTACCACCATTTTCGAGTAACAAACGCATTATATCACGATCTTCATTTTCGTAATGACGATTTTTTTCGGTTAAATTTGCAGCATAATGTACTGAGCTTTCACCATTTTTATTCGGTTTATTAACTAATTCGGTACAGGATTTTTTATCTTTAGTTTCAATAGTATATTCAATCAGTCTTTTGGCAATTGGATAATGTGATTCTTTTGCTGCAATATGCAATACATTTTCACCATTTATATTCAACATTGATGGATCAGCTTGATCTTCCAATAACATATCAACAGTTTCCAGGAATCCTTCTCTTGCTGCAAAATGTAAAGGCGATTCGCCATTCTAAAATGAACAGAATTTATTAGAAAATTTTCTCTGGAAAGAAACTAAATATTATACCGCATCTATAGCATTAATTTTGGCACCACTTTTGATCAACATTTCGACACAAGGACGACCATTTTCAATTCTTGCCGCAGTATGTAATGGTGTTTCACCATTTTTTCCAGCTTCTTGTTGTACAGCAGCACCCATACCGATTAATGCTTCAACAACTTGTGCATGACCAGATTGTACGGCTATATGCAGCGCTGTATAACCTTCCTGCGTTTTTCAGAAGAATTTTCATCAAAATTTCCGAAGAAAATCCAAAGTCAAAACTTACATTAGTTTTCGAATCAACTGATTCACCTTTTTGTACAATTGCTTTCACCACTTCAGTATGACCACGACTAGCAGCCATATGAATTGGTTTAGCACCGGCTTTATTTGGCATATGCAATGCAACACCTTTTTTCATAAAAACCATAGCCGTACCGGGATGGCCAGCAGCTGATGCTAAATGCATTAATGTACTACCATCTTTAGTACGTTCATGTACGGATGCACGAAATTTTTCGGTTAAAAAATCAACAGTTTTCATATGACCATTTTCCGTTGCCAAATGTAATGGTGTACGTTCTTGTTTATCAACAATATTTGGTTTTGCACCAACCATATGTAAGAATTTTATTAGTCCTTCATCACCCATTATTGCTGCCATATGTAATGCAGTGTGTCCATCTTTCTGTTTTTTGAAAATTTGAAAAAAAATTTGAAAAACCGAATGGAAAAGAAAAATGGAATATTACATTTTGTTGATCAACATCACCACCATTATCCACCATTAAACGTAACATATCGGTATCTTTTTTCCGGATAGCAATATGGATGGCTGTTTCACCTGTTTCCGGTTTATGCGTATTGATCTGTTCTTTTGGTAATTCTTTTAGTAATTCCCGACAAACACCATGATTACCATTCTCGAGGGCAATGAATAATGGTAAATTTCCATCTTTATCCGCTGCTAAACGTACTTCTTTTGGACTTGATTTTAATAATAATTGTAATGGTACAAGTGCAGCACCAGTTGCTTTTTGTGCTAAAACATGTATTGCTAATTGATTTTTTTCCTATCCAAACAAATCATTATTTGTAAATTTACGAATGATAAATTAATAAATTAAACTAATTAATTAAATCAAACTTACACCACCAGGTATCATTGCATCGGCTTTATTTGTCAACAATAACCTTATTGTATCTTCACGTGCATAAGCACATGCTAAATGTAATGCTGTTATTCCATCCTAAATCAATTTTTGAAATATGTTTTGTTTCAATTAATTTTTTTAAAAATTCAATTTAAAAAAAATCTAAGAAAATAAGTTTGTTGCTTTGAGAATTTTCCATTTCCGCATACAGGTTACAATTTGGTCAAAATAGCCTATATTGTCAAAACATTCGGTTTTTTCGGTTCTGATTTTTAAAATATTTCCTTTTGAATTTATCCAGTTTATTTCTGAATCTCTGTTTTAATCGATTATCATTATCAATTTGTTCATCAAAAAATAAAATGAAAATAAAAAAAATGACAAACATTATATGATAATCTTTATACATGTCAGCCATGGATATCATTTTGTTTAGCAGGTAATCTATATTTCTCTTTTCCTATATAAATATTCTATCTGATTTACCTATTTATCTGGTTTCAGGTTCGTTTGGCTATCGTTTTATTATCCGTCTCACTGGTTCCTGGTTTTTTTCTATCCATGAATAATAATAATTTGATTACACACACCTTTCTCACACTTTATATATAGAGGAAACCCGAAAAAACAAAGGTATGTTGGTAGCCACAATAACAATAATCATATTAATTACATTTTTTTCATATAGTAGACACCGAAAGAAAGGAAAAACGGATCATCATGCTGATGATAATGATGACAATTATTATTGCTTATAACAAAGGCAATATTTAAACACATTCATTGTCTAATGGTCACAGATTCCAGTAAGTAAAGGTACATTGAACTCAATGAATATTACTAATGGACAGCAGCAACAAGAAAAAATGGAAAAGAATTTTTCTCGAAATCATTTTTTTACGAAAAAAGATTCTTGATTTATCAATATGATTGTTATTTTCTTACCTTTGCTTTGGTATTGATTGGTATACCAAGATCGATTAATTGCTCAGATATTTGTATGCGATTATCACGTACAGCAAACATTAATGGTGACCAACCGGTTGTTTCGGATACAGCCGTTTTATCAAATTCAACATTATATTTATTTATATATTTGATTATTGTATCAACACCAACCCAATCTCCTTTACGACAAAGTGCAACCAATTTATGTCCATAATCACTAATATTTTTTGTCGCTCTTGATGATGGGGATTGATCCAACAAAGATTGTTTTCGAGATCCACGTCCTTGTACATCTTTAGACATTTCCCGTGATAATTTACGTCCACCAGGTCCAACTCTTTCACGTGATCTTGAGCGAGAACTTGATGATGATGATCCATGTTCTTTTGACGGTGGTTGTTCATCTTTCATTCCTTCAGTTTCGGTTGGTTTTTTTCCATCTTTAGCGTCAGCAGCAGCAGCAGCCGCTGCTGCTTCTTTTCGTTGTTGCATTCGTTGTTTTCTGGTTGGCATTTCACTTCTTGGCATTCGTGTTTTTTTATCATCACTTGTTTCACCATCGGTAGCATCTTTTTTACCTTGGGGAGGAATTGGTGATTCACGTGGTGATGGACGTGGTGATGATTTAGCTGATGGTTTTGGTGATGGTGTTAATTTGCCTGGCGGTAATGGTGATTTTCTTCCTGGTTTCCCTTTTGCACCACCATCTCCACCAGGTTGTACTCCAAGTCTACCTAATTTGGCCATTTCTAATTCAGTCAATTTGATACCACCGACTGATCCTTGTGATCGTTTGGATTTCATTTTTGTTGGTTTCGCTATAGCGGCTGTTTGTTGATCACTAGGCAAAATTGGTGAAACCGATGATGGTGGCTGTGGTGATGGCGTAGCGGATCCAACTGAACTTACATCCAATGCAGCTGTTATATCTAATTTTTCAACCTGAAGTTTTTTCTGTGATAATCTTGATGGTGGGGGTGGTTTTGGTGATGGTGGCTGTTGTTTTGAATCCATATCGATAATTGTAGCATCACCATTGATTATCACACCATTTCCGGTAGGTTTTTTCTTTTGTTGCGCTAATTTTTGTCGTTGCTGTTGTCGAGATTTTTCCAAATCTTTTTTCAATTCCTGGATGCTTACATTCTTTAATCGTTTAATTGGTTGACCAATTTCTTTTGATTTTATCGATTCACCATCGACTTGTTCATCGATTATATCGGATGGTGATGGATAAATATCTTTCGGCACAGGTGAACGTTTTCGTTTATCTTTTTGATTTCGAAATTTAACATTTACGAGATTCAACAAAAAGTAGAGAAAAGAAAAAACTTACCATCTGGTATCGGTTTCGCGACTATATCGACCGAATCTTGTCGTTGTAATGATGGCGATGTTGGATTGTTAGTTTGATCAATAATCAGACCATTAATTTGTTGCATTTGTGGACTTGGATTATCTAATAATCGATTGACATCTAAATTATCATCCATAATAGAAAGATGATTTGGATCTTGTTGTTGTTGTTGATTGTTTTGATGATCATTTTGATTATTATTGTGACTGTTGCAATCAACATTATCAACAATTTGTTGTTCTTCTTCTTCGGCCACCACCATAATGTGTTGATGATCCAAAGAATTTTTTTCATTCAAATTACATTACCACAAACAAAACAAAATCACAATGTAACAAAATGCAAAATAACAAAAATAAAGATGAAAATTTTTAATGGAAAAAACACCTTAAACATCCACCAAACAGAACAAAACAGTTATTATTTTGAACACTAAAAACAAATTATTTAAAAATATTGAAATTTTTTCATCGATTTCATCATCCGGTGAAATGATTTCTATTTAACAACCAAGAAAAAAACAAAACAAAATTCCAATTTCAAACCAAAACTGAATGATTTCGTTGAGAATGAGAAGCAAAAAACGATTCACACCACTATAGGGTAGCCAAATTCATTCATTTATTCAACTGACCGACTGACTTGACTGACCAATAAATTTTTTCTCGTCATTATCATTGGAGATTACTTATTACTTGTTCCAAGCAACCGAAACATTATCGTTATGGTCTCTATGTCTATCATGTTATTTTTTCTATTAAAACCCCTATATCCATACCCCTCCTATAGGACCATAAAAAAGAGATAGCCCGCAATCAACCGAAAAAAATTCTGTTTCATTTTTTTGGGTTAATAAATTCTTCATCATTTCACATTCTCCATATTCGGTATATTCACTCTTTAACTTCTTTTGACTTTTCGTTTGATTACTCATTTCATTTTGTTTGAGTTTTGTAGTTGTGATTACCATAATAACCCTACCTACCTCCTTCCTATACCTATCTTCCTGGTCATCATCATTAGGTGTGTTTGGTGATCCATATTTTTGTTTTGGTTATCATAGTAATGCTACTACTTGATCTACTACTTGTTATTTAACTTTTAATTATCTAATCCATTCAAATCTATTCGGTGTCGGTGATGATAATGATAGTGGTTCATAATTCATTATCTTTTCCTTTTGTTTTCCTATATCATATTTAGGTTGTAAATATGTTTTGTTTTGTGATATTATTTTCTTTCATTCTCTCGAATAACCCTTATTCATCATCATCATGTTCGATTTCCGGACACTATGATGATGTTAAAAGATCGGAAAAACAACAACAACAAATGAAACTATTTTTGCAAACATTAGTTGCTTATGGAGATTTGAAAATATTCTATAGTAAGACATCCATCCATCTTATAATGGAATGATTTATTTATCTTTCTATTTTAAAATTTATTAATTAATTATCTATGCAATGATGACCTAGATAACCCAGGCAAAGCAAAAATCCAGAATATCCAAAAACGAGGGTATCTTCCAATGATTAAAATCTTTGGTTACATTTTATTCATTCATTTGGTTTGTTTGGTTTTTGGAATCCTTGGTAACCCTCTCCTTGTGGTAGCTGTTATTGTTTTAGCTGTGTATTTGCAAATTTCTATTTGTTGATGAAATGATTATCATTCATTCATTCATTGAATGAAAATCATCGGTACAAGTATTGTTATTTAGGTCGATTTGCTATTGTTGTCGTCGAATTAAATACGTGACTAAAAATGAATTTAATGAAAAAGAAATGAATCATTTTTCCCTTTCAGATTGGTATATCCAACAAAAACAAAACAAAAAAGTTTGCTTTTCAAATATATAGGGTAATATGGATCCATTTCAAAGATATTTTTCATACTGGGAATGGATTTTATTTGTTACAGATTTATTAATGTTGTTGATCATCAACAATGGTAACATTTTTTTGGTTGTTTTTGCTACGAATCTTATATTTTATTAATGAACGAAAAAAATATTTATTAAGCTCAGTTTATTCAAATTTGTTTTTCGAGAGAAAAAATAGAAAGTTTGTTGTTGTTGTTTGTTGTTTTGGTTGGTCATGTAAGCCAAATGAATCTCTAGATATCGATATTTTTGGATCTGATCTAGGAAAAATTCAAACGAATCACTTTAATATAATCTTGATTTTCTTTCGGCAATGATTGTAATGATTCTGTTGAATGAATTGCTATCAATAGATTATCTACCGATTTAGTTATAGATTTGATCATCATCATCATTTGATTGGATAATGACTGGATTAATAATTCATAATCGGATGAATTTTTCAATTGGAAAAATGTTAAATGACTTTCCATTGATATAACTGGTTCAAATTGATGACCATTCATTTCGATTAGATATGAACGACGACCTTGTGGTATCCCCATATATTCATTACCAGAATCAGTTTTCAAACAAATTTTACTAAAACAACAATGACCAGATGATTCGGGCAATTCTAATTTCAAATCGATATTCATATCCGCAGCTAAATCAGATGCTGAAATTAATTTAACTTCTTTGCCAGTTTTAATTCGCAAAAAACCAACCAAAACGGTTTCACGTATTAATTTGGCCACTTTACGTGCTTCATTACCATTGATAAACAATTTCAGTGATGATGATGATGGTGAATCCATTGCAGCCAACATTCCTAAATTTCGACCCAATCTTGTCCATAATAAATTCTGATGTTTTAACATTTCCGATAATAATGGTGCGTTTACAACACCGGCAACAGATTTCCCATCCATAATATCCAAAAATTGTAAGGCTATTTCTTTAGCAACATTATTCTGTGCTTCTTTTGTACTAGCACCAAGATGTGGTGTACAGACTACCAAAGGATGTTCAATTAATTCACGATTTTTTGGTGGTTCTTCCATGTAAACATCCAAACCGGCACCCGAGCAATGTCCAGATTTTAATGCCATCAATAAATCATTTTCATCGATTATACCACCACGTGCAACATTAATTATGCGTACACCTTTTTTACATTTTTGTAATGTTTCAGTATTGATCATATCTAATAATGTTTGAAACAAAATTAAAATTTTTCTTTTTGAAAAATCAAAAAAATCATCCTTACTTTTAGTTTGGGGGATAAGTGGTGTATGAACGGTTATAAAATCAGCTTGTGGCCAAATTTCATTCAACGATAATGATTCTACACCAAATTCTTTGGCTTGTTCCACCGATACCAATGGATCGAAACCAATTGTTTTCATACCAAATGATTGCATACGGTGAGCTACTTCACGACCAATACGACCAAGACCAATAATAGCCAATGTTTTATCTTTAATTTCATTACCCATAAATGTTTTACGATCCCATTTACCGGATTTTAACGATTGACATGCTTGTGGTACCAGACGAGCAGTCGATAATATCATTGAACAGGTTAATTCAACAGCCGAAATTGTATTGCCAGCTGGTGCACTGATTTTTTTGGATTCAAAATTAATTTCTCAGAAGAATTTCTTCCAAATAATAATGGAAACTTACTTAATAACAATAATACCGGCACGGGTTGCCGCACGACAATCAATATTATCAACACCGACACCGGCACGACCAATAAGTTTTAGATTTTTGCCAGCATCAATAACATCTTTGGTTACTTGTGTTCCACTACGTACAATCAATGCATCATAATCCTATTTTCAAAAATTTTAAAGTTTGAAATTTATTTTTGAACAACTTACCTTAATAATGTTGATTAGCTCATTTGGCGATAAACCGGTAGCCACTTCACAATGAATATTACGTTCACGTAAAATCTGGATAGCAGCTGGATCGATTGGATCAGAGATGAGAACTTTTTCAATTTGAATTTTCATTTTTTAAGAAATTGAATTAGTTTTTTTGGTGTTCAAGTTTCAATGGAGTGTCGTTGATACGATGAAATTTTCAATGGGAATGATATTCACAAAAAACAATTTCAATTTCAATCTTTTCTACTATTTATTGATTGAGATTATGTTGTTTGTCAAATATGTTTTTGATTGACAATTTTATTTATTTATTCGGAAACTTACAAACAAAGAAGATATTGACTGCTCATATATCGTACGATGATTATGCACACATTGATTGTATGGTGCTGTACAATATTCTTTCTCTCGAAAACTTGTTGGGCAAGATTTTTTTTGGTAAGAAAAAATCAACTTGATAAAACAAATAACAAGTTTTGTTTTCATCATCAAAACAGACGAAGATCATCATCATCATCAACAAAGTTTATTTTTTGAGTATAAAAATAATTTTTAACCAGAAAATTTTCACTGGCGATTTAGTTGTGTACCATTAAGGCCTTGAAAAAGACAAAATCCCTATGCCGGTTTGAATCGGTTTGGTTGAGAAAAATATTTGGATTTTGTTTTTTTTATATAATAATGACCTTTATCCGAAACATTTTCTTTTCTTCGTAAATAACTGATTATATCAATATCGAAAAAATCGAATGTTCTTTTTTGAATGTTGCTAACCGTATTTCAACAATTTCGTTTGCATCTTTGTTCTTTTTCTGATTAGCACCGAATGAAATGAACTTTTTTTTCTTCATTTGCCACTTTTTTCTGATCTTTGTTCGATACATAAATGGTACATTGGGTAAAATGGATACAAAAAATATTCAAGCAAAGTGCTGATTGGAATCTCAATTTTTTTGGTATCTTCGTTTTGCTTACTATCGTGTCTATTTTGTTAGTTTTCAAACATTGAGATAAGTTGAAAAACTTTCTTTGAAAAAAAATTTCAAATCAAATAAAAAAAACAAAAAGATAACCAGAAAATAAAATTTCAAAAAAACATTCGATTTTTTTTCTTCATTGACATATCGATTTACAATCGATATTTCTAAATCGATACTATAGAAACTAATAGAAACTAGACAAATTGTCTGGTTTTATAATAATTTTTTGTTCTTCGAAATGGCGAAAAAATTATCAATCATGATGGTTGATGATGATCATCAATGATTGATTTTATTGATTTTAGATGAGATCGATCGATTGATCGATTGATTGATTTGTTTGTTTGCTCTATCGCTAATCAACAAAAAAGAATTTGTTTCTCTTCCTGTTATGTTTTTTTCCCAAGAAATCAAATCAAATCAATCAATGATGAATGAAATGTTTTTGTTTTTCCAAAATTAATCGCCCATCACCACCCCCACATAACAACAACAACAACAAAAATCGAACGTTTTTTTCCATCACATCGGGAAAATACCATCACCATTCGAATTTGTTTTTTTCCTGCCACGCTAAGTCAAATAAACAATTTCAAAGGTCAAAAAGATGTTTGTTTTCGCTTTTTGTTGATACAAAATGAAAAAAAACTCAGATAATCCTATCAAATGATCAATTTGGAATTTAACCTTATTGGCCATTTGTTTTTGTGACAAAAAAATAAATTCTAATCACCAATATTGAATGAGATAATTGTCACTTTTGGTTTGGATTATTTACTTGGTTGCAATCAAGTGCCAAATCACATGAAGATAAAATTATTACTCGAAAAAAAATCTGTAATGTCATCATCAATTTATTCAATATGAAATAAAAACTATTCATGACGTCTATATAAATTATCAAACAATTCCTTTGCAAGAATTTAAACATATTCTCTTCTTTTTTCTATGCAAAAAGAGTGAGTGAACAAAACAAAATAGTTTTAATGAAAATTATAGAAAATGTTAAACTAATTAAAGATAATTCAAAAAATAAATTCATATTTCCTTGTTTTTCGGTCCAGTGATGAACGATTTCGATCAATAAAATCGCTGTTCATTCGAATCGATCGGTTCATTTTTGATGGATATATCGACTTTTGGTAGCGCTGTTGTGGATGATTGTTCCGTTTTAATAATATTATTATTCAAATTAGTGGTTATAAATTGTGTTGATAAATTTTTGGTCATTGTTTTAACTTCTTTCAATGATAATGATGGTGATGATAATGTGGTGGTTGTTGTCGGTGAATGTAAATTTGGACTGTGTAGCTGTTGTTGCAACTGTAAATTAGCCTGATGATATTGTACAACTAATCTTTTCAAATGAATAATCATGTCAATTGAGCGTGTTAATACAGCCGATTTACTGAGATTATGTTTCTGTTTCGATACCAATGATTTAAGTTTATTGATTTTTTCATTCAATTTTGTTCGATAGCGAAATTCGGCCGATAAATGCGCTGTACGTTTTTGTGTTTGTTTATTCGACGATGGATTAATGGAGGTAGCATCCGATGTTGATGTTGTCATTTTATGAATTTTAATACCATCTATTCGACCTGTTACTGATGATCCGATTGTATTTGATGATGATTTTTTATTACCTCGTCCACGTTTTAGGCCAATTCGTGTAGCACCGGGACCGTGATTGGCACCAAGATTATCGATTTTTGTTGTTAAAATCATCGGTGATTTTGAATTATTCGCTATCGATGATGATGATTCAATCATTTTATGTTGGCCATTATCATTATCATTATCGTTAATTAACGATGTAACAGAATAATTATTATTGCATAATCCATTCGAATTGGAATCAATAAATTCGATTGAATTGGTTGGTTCGAATGGATTAGCATTGACTGCCATCTTTTTCTGAAATGCCAGATAAGCTGATGTTTCCATATCTGGACTTGATGGTGGTGTCATGATTGCATTATTATTTGTTGTTTTTGTTGTTGGATTTGTTATGGTTGTCGTACCAGTTTGCGAATAAATAATATTAGCATTCATTATCGATGATGCAGTACAATCGATTGTTGTTGTGGATTGTTGCTCTTTTTTCATCATTAAATTATCATTTTGTGTGAAATTATTACTATTATTATTATAAATTAATGATAATTGATAATCTGGTTGATTGGAGAAATTTCCATTCAATTGATCATTATTATTATCCATTTCGATTATTGTTTGATTATCATGATATTGATTATTATCGATTGTATCGAATGATGACTGATTTGGCTGAAAATAGCCAACAGGTTGTTGTTGTACATACGATGATGATATGTTATGATCAGTGGCATAAAAATTATTGGATGGTTCATTGTTGAAATTAGTAGAATCTAATTGAGGATCAATAGTTGTATAATAAGATGTTATCATACCGGATGGACTTGAAGGTGCCGAGTATGATAATAATCGATTATGATCATTATTATTATATAGGTAATTATAATTGATATTCTCCAAATAATAATTATTATTCGATGACGATGATGATGATGTCGATGACGATGGTGATGAAAATGTTGTTGTCGATGTTAACGATGGTATCAATGAATTTTGTTGTTGTTGTTTATGTTGTTGATAATATTGGATATACTCTTGCTGTAGATATGGTATCGGATCGGTATTATTATCTTGTGGATATGATATCATTGAACGTAGTAATGTTTCAGGTGATGATGGCAATTGAACAGATGATGATGGTGATGATAATTGTTGTGATTGTTGCATGATGGACAAATTTTTCTTAATTAAAATTTCAATCTAGCAAACACTCCTCATTTGGAAAATTTGAAAAATGAAATTTCAATTTGTTCTTTATACTATGAACATTTGAAACCAAAAAATGGTGATCAATATGGATGTGGGTGTGTGTATGATTAGTATGATTTGCAATGAGATTGTTTTTATATTGATGATTTGGGTTGGTGTGCACAAAATAATCTTGGGTTGGATGTTTTTTGTTTTTCCAATGAAAAAAACATTCATTGCTTCTGTTAATTTTTTCATAATGATTTCCATAATAATCGTTATCATTTGATCAAGCTGTTTTGATTTGTTCAATATTTGATATTGGTGATAATTTTTATTTAAATTATTGCTTCTAATCGATTATGATTGGTTTATCGAAATTATCAACTTTTTTCACAGTTAATTATCTTCGTTTTTTTGGTGGGCGGATGGTGGCAAACATTGATTATTTATATTTTATTTTTTGATTCGGTGATAACTGAAATGGAGAAAGAGGGGTCGAAATTATTTGGATGAATGTATTTGTTATCTTTTTTATATTTTTTGGGAAAATGGGCGTGTAATTGGGAGGAGCAATAATAGATTCAATTGATTATTATCGAATTGCATTGGTCATTGATTTATAATCCATAAATAAAAATGGTCAGAATCGATCAACGCTGAACATAAACATTAATCAATCAATCAAATTGATTAAGTAATGAAAAAATGAACTAGTCATGAAAAATTGAAATTGATATTTTTGATCCGGTTTGTTTATTTTCCATAGAAACAAAAAAAGTTACACTTTTCAAACGGGGCAAACGAGAAATCAATTGATAATCATCATTGTTTATCATGGCTGAACTGAATGTATGATCTTGAACCGGATCGAATTAAATTAAAAATCAAACAACAAACTTTTATGAATAGACAAAATTTTGGTTCCAGACAAAAGAGCGAAAAACAAACATCAAAGTTAATGATATTAGTTTCTTTGCACCCTTTGAAACTAAAATTATAGCAGATTTTGTTTTCATTTTTCGTTCAATTGATTTTTGGCAAAAATAATATTTTCGGTAAAACATAAATTTTTTCACGATGATCAACCATGATGATCCATTATCATTCGTATAGCAACAGAGCACAACAACAACAACATCAATATTCATTAAACTTGTTTTTCTCTACCAAAATATTCACGGTGACGTTCATAGATAATCACAGTTGAATTCAATCAATTCAAATCAAATCGATGGATCAAATCAATCGAGCAAAAAATATATTTTTATATTTGATCAATTGCCAATATCCAACTGATTGATTTGATTGATATATATCCATGATTATAATCCATCAATATAAATTGGGTTTTTTTTGCTTGGCATATCGTATTTTGATGGCCAACCAATCAATCAATCAATCAATTGATTCATCATGATAATAGAATTCATTTGAATACCTTTATTTTTTTGAAAGAAAGATATTTGATAGTGAAAATAAAAATCTGCTTCAATCATTATGAATAAATCCAAATTATAAGGAAATAATTGTTTTCAATATCAATCGGACAACCAGGTCTCTCTTTTTGAAGTGATGATCATCGCCACAAAGAATTATTTGAATAATCGATGGTATCCATAGTTATTTATTATTGAAAAATTGAAAAAGTTTGAAATCCTTTTTACAACAAAAAAAAATTGAACTTTGAAATATGATTTGAATATGAAAAAAACTGAAAAGTAAAAAAATAATAAATGTCACATGGGAAAAAAAGATATGCAAGTTATCTTGGCTCAAAAGAGATAATCTCTAAAATAAATTTTATTTTTGCATTTTTATTTTGGTTGCTAAATGATAAACATTGATATCTTTATCTTTATTGGTTCTTTTCCCAGATAATTTCCCCGAATAAGCTTACCGGTTTCTGAAAAATTTTTCTTCGTTTTTACCCTTATGAAAAATTAAAGGATTGTTTTTTTGACAAAATTTTTCTGTTTTTATTCAATGAAATTTCTTTTTAAAAAATTAAAAAAAAAATTTTTTATGTTTTTTTCTGATTTCTGTTACAAATAATATGAATAGTTTTTGTGTGTGCAAAAAGATTGAGAGAAAAAATTCCTTTTATTCACGACTTTCTTGTCTGTCGGTTCGTTTTTCTCTACGATCACCACCACGGTCACCGCCACGATCACCACCACGGTCACCTCGATCACCACCCCGATCACCTCGGTCCCCACCACGATTGCCACCACGGTTACCACGATTTCCTCGATTACCACGATTTTGATCACCACGATAATGTTGTCGATCATAATTTTGTCTATTCTGTCGATTTTGTCCTTGACGATTACCTTGGCGATTCTGATAATTACGATCAAATCTTTGACCTTGACTGAAATGTCCCATCGGTACTAATTTCAATTCTAATAATCGTTCATTATAATCCAATAATGTATTAACTTTATCGGCCAATTGTAGGGCTAAACTTTGAATCCTTGATGGTTCAGTGCGATGCATAACAACGGTACGTGTTGGTTCATCCAATGATGCCATCAATTCTTCATTGATAATCATTTTGCTTATGATACTATGAACAATATTCGATTCCAAATCAAACATCTGGGCCAATGTATCGATAGAAATTGAATCATAAACAAAACTATAGGTAAACAAATATGTACGCAAGGATTCTTCACGAATCTTTTGCGCCAACATTGTTCGTACTTTATCGGCATTGTAGAAAAAATTCCAAACACGGGCATTCATTTTTTCATTGATGATATAATCCTGACATTGTTTCCAATTACCGATACGCATAGCTTTTGATGCAGCCACTACATGTTCACGCATTGCTTCCGGCACACCAACCAATGGTTGTTCTTCATTCTTTCGAAGTTGATTGAAAAACGAACGACTGATCAATTTTTTTCGTACACTAAATTCATTTGAAGCAACTTCGGGAATTTCCAACAACATCGACGACACAAGATATACACATTCGATTAGATCCAAATTTATATGCTTATGAAATGGTATCTGACAACGTTTTTCCAATTTGGCTTGTTCCGGTGAACGTTCTACGGCTTTCATATTCGATCCTAGATTGAGAGATAAAAGTTTAATCAAATAAAATTATTATCAATAGATTCATGATTGAAACTTACTGCTCGAACCTTGACCCAACAATTCCCGCACACGACCTTTATAAAGAATATCCAACAATGAGGAATGAGCATCGAAAATAAAACCATGACGAAATGCACATAAACCGAGTTGAACTAATGAACGATTATAAAGAATTTGCAGCTGAATATCGGATTTATGGCTAAGAATACTTGTCGGTAAACCGGTCATAATCATAAGGTCACGTGCTTCATACCAACGATCATGTAATGCATAATGATAAACTTGTGATAGGGCAGCCATTTTGCTAAAACGACCTGTTTCATCATTAACATAAATATATTTGCAAAGACGATCTATTAATTGTTGACTGTTCAAAAGTACTTCATTATTATCTGATGATGATTGTTGTTGTTGTTGCTTGGAGCTTTCAGTTGCACTGATAATCAATTTGGGATGGCGAACGATTTTGGATGTAATTTTCTTCTGATCATTTTCCGAATTGATAATGATTTTTTCATCAAATTTATAGTAAAGAAAATCAATAGTGAGCATATAAATTCGACATAAATCGGCGGGTGATCCGCGATTATTATATTCCAAATATGAACGAACTTTAGAAATAATAGCAATCAATCGAGTTTCATCGCATAATTTTTCAACATAATCCGGTGAATGTGGATCACAATTTTGCAATAAACGAATAAATTCCTCATCCATTTTTTCCAACATTGTTAGCACACAACCTTGTACCAAATACGGTGGATCTTTGAATGATTCTTGATCTTCTTGAATAGTTTCCTGTACGGTTAGATCGGGATTTTTTTCCAGAAGGTCCATGATTGTTTCCATATTTTGCAGATATTTTTTCCAAATTTCTGATTTCATTGAATTTCCTGAACCATAATCAGCCAAAGCTGATTGTAGGCCAAGTAAAATTTTCACTTCTAATGCTGGACCAAAATTATTTTGTCGTGAAATTGTCAGCAATTCATTCAACATATCCAATTGATCCAGACGATCGACACGTTTTTTACCACGCATTGCCATAACTTCGATCAATTTTTTGCCCATGACTTGATGATCGATTTCAGCATCTTTGGCAAACATTTTCGGTTTTTCTTGTGCAGCTGTACCTTCCACTTTTGTCCATTCGCCTTCTTCATCATCACCTTTTTTCTTACGAATTTCTTTAACTTTTTTTTCTCGTTTTTTGATCTCTTTATCTTTATCGGTATCTTTTTTCAAAAATTTGGCCAATAAATTTTCCCCATAATCTTCATCATCGGATGATGATTCATCTTCATCGGATGACATATCCCAATCACTTTCATCATCATCATCTTGGCCAGCACCAACACCATCATCATCGCTGGCATCTTTGGATGTTGTACTGATTGTTTTTTGTCGTTCAAAGTCAGTAGCTTTAGCTTTTGGTTCATCAAGCGAACTGGCATCATCATCATCTGATTCACTTTCATCATCCAATTCTTTTCCTTCATAATCACCTTGTGGATTTTCACGATAATCGGCAATTTCTTGTTCGAATTCTTTATTATATTTTCTCAATTTTTGTCTTAATGTTGTTAATGATTTTGAATTATTTTTATTCATATTCTTTCGATCTTCCCAATTTTCCTGCACAAAATCGTCCAATTCAACCAGACATTTTATATAAAATTTAGGTACTTTACCACCTTCTTCTTTATCAATAACCGATGATTTTGCTTTTTGATAAGCTTTGATTAGATCTTCGAATCCGCTCAATAATTTGGCTACATCTTTAATTTTTTTATGATTTCGTATCAATTTTATTGTTTTATTCAATTCTTCATAATGTTTTTCCTTAGCACTTCTTACTACACGTTTTACATCATCATCTTCATCGCTGAATGAATAATTCCTATTTGATTCAACAACAAAAACAAAAGCAATTGGGTATTATATTTAAAACTCATCAAGTTTAAAAACTCACGCTTGTGCCGCCCTTGTCGGTGCTAATACTTCTTCTTCAGATTCTTCAGTTTCGGATTCAGTATCCGAGAGATGTTTGAAAAACTTTCCACTCATAATTGGTGATTAATAAGAAACAAAAATTAAATCAATAATTATCAAACAATTTTGATGGATTTCTCAATTGGAAAAACGAAGCTTTTTTTTGTTAAAATGAGCTTGTAGGCAAGCATGCCAACAAATCAATGTGAAACAAACAAGAAAAAAAACCAAGCCGGATTATACAATTGACAGGTATGGCCGTTCATCAACGATGTTACGAATTGATTTTTAAGATGATTAAATTTTTGATAATTTTTCAAAAACAATTTACAAAATATATGATACTTTTTAATAATTTCCATCATTTGTTTTGCAAATCAATTATCAAGTTAAATTTTGAAAATTTTGTAAATATTTATTAATTTAGAATTATTTTCGAAACAATTTAATTATGTTGTTCAATTTGGGTCGATATAGTTGCCGAACATTGGAAAATATTGTTGTTGTTTTTCTGTTTGAATAAAATGTTGATATTTTTAACGATTTTTATGAATTAAAAAAAAAAATAATCTAAAAATGTCTTCAAGAAGGAAGTAAGTTCTGCATTCTGTTCATCTAGAATCCATTTAATTATCCCTTTTTTGTTGATAGTAAACGTTATTTTTCCGATTTAAATGAAGAAAAATATGCTCCTGGAAAATTAAGGTATTGATTGAATGTTTTGTTTTTGTTGAATGTGATTTTAATTTTATTTTCAAAGTTCAAATCTTCGTCAAGCATTAGGCCTTGAAAATGATATGTTGCCATTTTGGATTTATCGTATGAGAATATTAGGCTATCCACCTGTTTGGTTGCAAACTGCTCAATCAAAAACCTTGGCTGTGATTGATAATACAACCACAAAATCAGATAAACCATCAAGTTCATTGGCTAACGGTGAAGATGGTGAACTTGATGATCATCTGAAATATAATAAAGACATATTGATTGAATATCCAGGTTTCAATGCACCTGTACCGAAAAATGTTCACGATGTAAGTGTTGTTGAGTGGGATTGGCGTTTTTGGAATTTGGTTTTTCAAATCTTTTTTCTTTTTTAAAAACAATAAGGATTGGGTTATTCTTGGAATGCCTCCATTTCAACCAAAGCAACATCTTAATGTTGCTGCTGAACAAATGCAATTTATTGAACCTGTACCATATAAACGAACAAAACTGAATAATGATAATGATTCAAATTCAACTGCTACTACTACTACTGATGATGATTCGAATACTAATCCTGGCGATGATCAACATTCCAAAGATGCTACAAACAACCACCAAGATAATAAAAACAATATGGAAAAAATTCAGCCAGAAAATGAAGAAATACTGATAAAATCTGAAAATGATAATGAAGAAAAAGATGAACAAATCAATTGTATTAATCAATCTGAAGATTTGATGGGAAAGGATACCAATAACAGTAGCAGTAGCAGCAGTAATAATACATCAACAACACCAATAACAGCTGCTAATGAAAAGAAAATGAAAATAGTTTCATATGGAACACCTGTACCGCAAACAGTACGGCCAAAATTACCCGCATTAGAAAAATGGTCAATCGGAATGGGTGAATTATTGCATTTTGAAAATTTACCCAATTCAACTGGTGCATATCAGGGTAAAATAAAAAATATTATCGATAAAGTAAGGAAACGTTTTAAAAAATGATTAATGTAATAATGTAATATAGGATTTTATGATTTGATTATTTCATTATTTCGAAAAATTTCCATAACATATACATTTTATAAGACAAAAACAAAAGAAAACAATTATCAATTTTATAAAAATGAATTTAAATTAAAAATGTAATCAAGTTGTAAAACCTGGATCATTATGATCATCATCATCATGATGGTTATTTTCAGTGAATTTAGTGGATTGTTGATTACCATTAGTTGGTTGTTGTCGCGGTTGTAATGGTATGTTATTATCCAATGGTGGTAATATCATCCATATGAATAGAAATGCAAATAATAGATAACCAAATGTTAATGTCGTCGAACCGATACCATGATCAACTTGTTGTAAATTATTATCAATACTGTTATTAATATTATCATCCATACAGTCCTCAGCTGAACAATCAGTTTGATCATTAGCCATTCGTAATAATTGTCGTATTAAATATTGAATATTAATCCTGTCTTGAATATATTCACATAGATTTGAGCCCATTTTGCATATGCAAAATTAGTGATGAGACTTTTTCAATCAATTTGATCTGTTTGCTGTCGAAAAATATAATACTGAACGCGTCATCAAATCGAGTTTTGTTTTGTTTTTTCCAAACAAAATATTTCGAAAAGTGAGAGACAACAACAGAAACAAAAGAGAGACGACAATTGTATTGCGTTATTTTGGATTTTTTTTCTTTTGAAATTGAGCAAAATAGATTTTCTCATTTGCAAAATGTTTTTTTATCCCAAACAAATCTCAATTGTGTATATCCTCCCAATTTGTTGTGATTTTTTTTTCATTTTCACTGAAAAAATTGAGGAAGGATCGGCCTGCCATCTATCGTTTGCAACAGAAAACAAATTAGGTTCATGAACTCTGACTTTTTTTCTGATCTGATCTCTGGTCAACTCGAAACTCGAAAAGAATTTCTGTCAACAACAACAGAGAAAAACCCAGCGAGATTATATCATCGACTTCGAATGCAAAAAAAGGTAAAAACTGCTTGATTCGATAACAAAATATTGAAAGAGAGACATTCCAGGTTTGTTTATTTGTGTAAATATTTTATGTTATGATTTTTTGGATAATGTTGTTGATGATAATGGTAATGGCAGTTGTCGTCATTCGTGGTAGTGGTGATCATATTTTTTGGTGGTGGTGGTAGTATCAATGAAAAAAACAAGTCTTTGAGCCACCCAGCAGCCAACATTATTTGCCACGACTATGTCTGGCTAAATCTGATGATCATAAACACACCAAACATCAAATATACAAAATGTTTGTAACATCATTGTGAATAGTGTGTTGATGACGATATCTTTTTTTCAATTTGATTTGATTTGATGCGGCTGAGCGATTAAAATTTTGTTTATAATCAACATAACCACAACAAAAATGTGTTAATCATTGATAACAGCATTTTAAATTTTCGAATTGATTTTGCTTGATAAAATATCCAAAATTCATATGACAGTAGTCATTAATGAATGAATAATTTTGTTTCTCTCATTCAGTCAAAACCAAAACATCATTCCATTTGATCATTATCATCGATTCGTTCGTCATTTCGGATCCATTCCAAACGAATTGATTCCATAAACAAAAATGTCATTCTTCCAAATCAATTTTTGTTCATATTATCTTTGATTTTCATTGGCAGTGTGTTTATTCCATTTTTTGTTGTGAAACATTTTTTCCACAAATTACCACGATGAAATGCTCAAATTGTAATGAAAATATTGATGATGATGATCAAATTGTCGAAGCAATTAGTGCGAATCGTATGAAAAAATTTTGTCATCTACGATGTTTTCGGTAAATATTTTTTGATTTGTGCATTAGTTTTTTTAAATAGAATTTGTTGTTATTTTAGTTGTAATATTTGTCAACAATCATTGATTGCTTGGGATTTTGAGAAAGATGGCGTCCTATATTGTGCGGAAGATTATTATGATAAATTTGGCGAACGTTGTCGTCACTGTAATCATTTTATGACCGGCCCGGTTATGGTTATGAACGGTGGTGAATATAAATTTCACCCAGAATGTTTTAAATGTGATTGTTGTCAATCGATTATTGGTGATGATGAGTCATATTCATATGTTGATTGTAGACAATTATTTTGCAATAATTGTTTTCAAAAGCAAACATCATTCGATCATCCTATTGTCAATAGACCGTTAACAAACGATGAGGATAATGGAGAAATTCATTTAAAACATGATACTAATAATGTGATTCAAATTATTGATATTCCACCATTGTTTAATGGTCGAAAACGTCGTATTCGTTTGGCGTTCAAAGATTGCCAACAACAGCACCATCAACAACAACAAAATGGCCATCATAGTCATCATATATTGCATTATATTGGTCATCATTCTACTTTAACAAACGGTATTTTCATATTTATAATGGCATTTTAGCTATAACTTTATTTTTTTAGAAATTCGCGAAAAAAGTGATTCAATGGTAGCCATATCTGAAATAGATGTTAATTATGATGATAATCATCTATTTCATATTGCTGATCGAATTTTAAAAATAAATGACAGCTTTCTTGGTGATAGTACGACACTTGAAGATATTAAAAATCTGTTTGATCTATATTGCAATCAAATTATTCAACTTTATGTTGAACATAATCCTAATCATGATAAAAAGATACGAAATTCATTGGCTGAAGAGAAAACACCATCACCATCAAGATTGGAATATAATTCTGTTACAGACCAGACAACAACTAACACTAACAACACGACAAACGGTGTCATTGACTTTGATGATAATAATCAGAGCAAACGAGTTGTCAATTTGTCAACAACAACAACAAACAATAATCATCATCATGTCATGTCATTCAATCAAAACAATGACAATGACAATAATAAATCAACCAATTATATGACATCGGATAGGCCAAAAAGTTTATGTCATCAACATTCAAATTTGCTAGACGGTACTGTTAATGTTTCTGCTATTGATTGCAATTCCAATTCAAATGAAATTTCAAATAATAAATCTAAATTTACATCAGGTAAGTGATTATCACATTCAAAATTGAAATTTCTAACAAAAATGTTTATTATTAGGCCATTCTAATAGTAGATCATCTGATAAACGATATCGTAATCGCGAACGATCATCATCATTATCACGCTTACTTGAAGCGATTAGTTTGAATTCGGATAGTGGTAAAAATACTAATGGAAATAATACCAGTGTTGGTGGTGGTGTCATAGGCAACGATACATGTGATAATTTGCCAACAATTCCGAATCCTTATTCGAGCAAAAATAATCAGCAACAACAACAGCATTCATATTTTACATCATCATCATCATCATCATCTCGAAATGGTTTAACATTAGCATCTCGATTGAATAATCCATTATCCCGTACTAAGTCATTTCGTGTTGAGCCAAAAAGTTATCGTATATTTCGTGCATCTGATCTAGTCAAAGGAGCATTACTTGGTAAAGGTTTCTATGGTGAAGTATTTGAAGTGACCGACAAAGTTACTAAAGAAAAGATGGTCATCAAAGAATTGTATCATAATGATCGTGAAGCTGAAACAAATTTTGTTCGTGAAGTTTCTATCCTCAAATCATTGAATCATAAAAATGTTCTGCATTTCATCGGGATTTTATATCGTGGAAAAAAATTGAATCTCATAACTGAATATATAACCGGAGGAACATTACGACAATTGATTCAGGACGAAAAGCGTTCCATTTATTGGCCCGAACGAATTGGTTGGGCCCGAGATATTGCTTCCGGTGTTAATTATTTACATTCAATGAATCTGATACATCGTGATCTGAATTCACAGAATTGTCTTGTACGTGAAGATGGTACAGTTGTTGTGGCTGATTTTGGTCTTTCAAAAATAACCTGTTCGAATGATGATAAACAAATCATCAATAATAATAATGATGATAATAAACAATCAATCAACAATAATAATCATAACAATCATGAAGAGTCATTTAATGATAAACAAATTCAGAAATTAAATCGTCGTCGTGATCGTCGTAAACGTTATACAATAGTTGGCCACCCATTTTGGATGGCACCCGAAATGATGCATCGAGATAAATATGATGAACGTGTTGATATCTATTCATTTGGAATCATATTGCTCGAGGTAAATTCAACCAATATATTTGACAAATATTTAATATTTTCATTTTTTCGAAAATATTCAGATTATTGGTTCGGTAAATGCCGATCCCGATGTTTTGAAACGAAATCGAGACTTTAGCGTGGATAAAAAATATTTTTTCGATACTTATGTTGATAAATCCTGTCCGGAAGTCTTTTGGAGAATTGCTTTTCTTTGTACTGAATTGAATCCTGATATGAGGTATGATTAATTTTTGATAGCATTTTTAAGATTAATTTTTGTTTTCTATGCAAAATCATTCAGACCATCTTCACAGATACTGGAACGATGGTTTCAATTATTACATATGGCTGTTAATACCAATCATCATCATTGTTCAATAATAGGATCATCATCACCAGATAATAATAATGAAATAAGAAGACTAACATTAGATGAATTAGCAAAAGAAGTGGCCAACCATAATCATCATGAAACGATGAACAATTATTATCAACAACAACCACAACAATCCGTAGTTTCGAATAGCTCTTCGTCTTCAACAAAAATCAGTACGAATCTTTGATCTGTTTTCAAAAACGAGATCTCTTCTAAATTGAATATTTAGCTTGTAAAAAATGAAATGTAAAAAAATCTATTTTTCCCACAATTTATATATTTTTTTCTAAAAAAATTATTCATTTACATTAACAAATACATTCAAACAGAATAAATAATGAATTTTTTTCGTGTGTGAGTGTATTGAGTGTCAAATAAAAAATATCAGTTTAAAAAATTGACTTGATTATCACTGTTTAAAGTTCAGAATTTAAATCTGAATTTCGATTTTTTTGTCTGAAATTAGTTGTCCGTCTATGATTTCGAGTATTATTGATATTAGTATTATTAGCGCCATAAATGGAAAGATTCATGGTTGTAGCATGTGCATCATCAATACTATTATCATTATCATTGTCGGATTCATTTCCATTGAATGATGGATTCGGTATACCATATTGGTTTGGCGGTGGATTTGGTGCCGGTCCTTTTGATGGACGTTTTGTATCCAATGTTGATCGCTGTCTGGTATTACGTGTGAATTCATTTTTAGCGCCCAATGTTTGCATTCCCGAATTATTATTGGAAACGATTGCTTGATCATTATCATCATTAGCGATCAATGTATTTTTCCGTCTTTGTAATGCAAGAAAATGTTCTTTGGATCGTATTCCACCCAATATTGGTGTATCTGAATGGGCAAAAAAGTTATGAAAATAAACTCAAATAATCAATCTTGATTACCTTCATTAATATTATTGGAAATGTTTAGAAATCGTTTGCGGAAAGCAACATCCAATGTGCCAATTGTTCGAGGTTTTTTCATTCGTTTTTCCAGATTATAAATAGTTTTACGTTTTTCAACACGATTACCATATGGCGATTCTTCCGATGATTTGTCATCTTCATCAATACCACGTAATCGTTGTAAATGGCGTACAATTTGTATGGCATTTTTATCGATAAATGCATCTTCACTCATATCTTCGATTTTCGGCGAACACCATGATAGTTCAACCGACGCTATTAAAATGAAAAAATAATTTTTTCGAAACATGTATTATCAAATGAATAAAGTTACTTACCAAGAATATGTGATAAAGTTGCAAATCGATGAAACAACATTCCCACGAATTGGATGATTAAAATTGAACCGAAAAAAATGACAAACACCAAACCAATTGGCTCCAATTCTAGATATTCTTTTTCGACGATAAATTCATTCGTATCAGGATTGATGGTGATATTTTCACGTACACCAAGTGGCCAATCAACATGCAGAATTTCTTTGTTTAATTGCAAAAGAAAAACACTCAATACAAACAATGCATTCAACATAAAAAAGCCGAAAAATACACGATTCCGCAGTTCTTTCAAATCGGCCGCAACTCTAGCCTGATGATCTTTATTCTGTTCGATTGGCAGCAGATATTTATCAATCAAATCTCTCCAGAATTGTATTTCAGCCGGATGCAGATAGGCTACTTCACCATTCTTTAGATCTTTATCTTCAATCCAGTACGGATTCAATGATTCATCACGTTCATTACGTAATTCAATCATTCGATCATCATCATCATCATCTAGTTTTAATGAATTACTACCACTATCCATTGATGATTTGCAATCATCTTCTTTATGATGACTATTCGATTCATGTTTAACAATATCATCCAATAATGATGTAGCTGCTGCTGCTTCTTCTTCGTCGGTAAAACATTCGTTTACAGTATTCAGTCCACGATGATGTTGTCCATGATGTGATGATGCCTTACCATGACCATGATGATGTTTATGTTGGTGTTCGATTGTTTTACCCATTTGATTGACTTTTTTGTTAATGTCTTCTAATTGATCCTGGATTTTCATCAAATGAATCGCTTCTTCATTTGGTTTTGGATATGTGAATAGCATACATTTGCATAGATTGGCTAGATTGAATGTAATGCTACCTTCTTCTTGATTTTCATTGGTCATATTGAGGAAGCCAAGTAAACTTTTTTTCTTAATTTCTTCTTGTGCTTTTCTTTCTTCTTCTAATTCTTTTTTAGTTTTTTTCGACTGTACTTCTCGAGTACCCCAAGTAACAACGTTCAAATTGATCAATGAATAAAGAATCAATAACAAATACATACATGGTATGCTTAGAAAATATAATAATAATGGTCCCAAACAACTGATTTCTTGTGGATGTAATAGCCCAGCAACAATAAAACTACCGGTTAATGATAGAAAAAATATTGCCGATGGTGAACCAAGACCGTCTTCAGTCATTTGAATTGCTTGACCAACAAATACGGCCATCATTAGCAGACAATAAGCAGCACTGAGTATTTGTGCAACAAAAATTTGCGCTTCATTTTTAGCCAAAAAACATACTATTATAAACATTAAGATTGGAATGAAATTCCATATAAACGAATCCCAATTCGATATACGAAATACTGCGTTAACAGCACCGACCAACATCAGAAATATTGTACCAGGACCAAGAATAGTACCGACCATTAACATACCCTGATATATGATGTATGGCAATGATATATTATCATTCACTTTAACTGTACGCTTATAATCACATAGAAGATCCATTATATTGGCCATTGTTGATGGTGCCCAACGACGACGTTGGGTATAAAATTCACCAAAACCTTCCGGGCAATGTGTATAAGCATCGGAAGCAGCTGAATATTCTACACGATAACCACGTTGTAATAATAGTGTACAAAGCCAACGATCTTCACCTTGATCATATTGAACATAATGTAATGCTTCTTCTGATTTGGTTGTATATTTACGCATAACATTATCGTCCATTAATGCTTTCGCACGAAACAAGGAAAAACATCCGGGTGAACAGAGTACACAACCAATCATATGTTCAGTTGCTTTTTGCAGCCAATGACCAATAGCATACTCAAATTTTTGATACCAATACATAAATCCAGTACCCACCGGGTGTATACGACCACATGCAGCACCAAGATTTTTATTCTTTTTCATTAGATCCACCAATAATTGTACAGCATGTGGACGAAAATTAATATCACCATCCAATGTCAGTAGATATGTATTTTCAGCAATCATTGCCTTCCGATTCACGTCAATAGGTAATTCCATAATCTTATGACCCAACAAATAATACATATACATCACTTGACTCCAACGTTTACGATGACGAATTTTCATTTTATCTTTGAGATGAGCAATCAATTTATTCTGGCCAGGCATTAGCCATTCCAATCGGCCACCATACGGTGTGGGATATTTTTTTGGCACTTTGAGTTTAATATTACATTGATGTACATAGCTGGCTGCTGTATCGATAACCTGAACGAATTGTTTAACAAACCTATTCACCACCATATCTTCATCATTTTCATCACATAATTCGAATGCATCATCGAAGAAAATATGCACTTCGAATTCATAATAATCTGGATCGATAATACGAAGATATTTTTGTGCATTACGTCGGGCACATTGATCTTCATCCATACGCATTACTGATTTGAGCATTTGCAGCATTTCTTCGGTTGTTTCATGCCACATTGTCGCAACAGCATAAATACGAATGATTTGATCAGTACTATATGTTTCTTTATCTTTTTTCTTTTTATCATCTTGATCGGAAATAGTTTCATAGTGTTGTGATGGATCTTGCATGGTAGTGCCATCATTATCAAGGTTAATATCTTCACTTTTTATTACTTCTTCATCATCACGACGCCGATTCATTGCTAATGATTGATCAATCAGAACAGAATTATACATTGGCAGTACGAAAATCTTTTCCGTTGTTGCTAAACGTTCACATTTTGGATTCCAAATATGAACCGATATCCATATTTGTGATAATAACCATGCAACCCATAAAAATGCATGTGGCTTCATCAGAAATTCACTGAATGGTTCTTCCTGACAAAACCAGAATAGATACTTTGGTATCCAAAAATCTGATAGTGGACATCGATTTTCAAAGTGAATTCCACAGAATGTTATCAACACAGAAATGGTTACCGGTACGGTCAGGCTAATCGGGAAGGCAAAACTAAATCCTTGAATACAAATTTTACAGGTGAATTTGGCCACCACATAACATAGCCAAGTAGCAATGATTTGCATAAACACCAACCATAATGATGTTAATGAACGAGAATTGAATTCAAACGTTTCACTTTCAACACCTACGAATTGATCGGTATTTGCGAATTCCAATAAATCGGAACGATCTCTTTGAATCAGGATCTTATGTTGGCCAAATGCTTCACGAAATTTTCCGAATATAGCGAACGATATGGAACCATCAATATAATAAAGAGAGGCAAACATTGATATAAATATAAGCAATACTTTCCAAATGGATATGAATATATAGATGAAATAACGTGTACGATGAAATTTTTGTTTAATTTTGGCCATTTGCTGTATGAAATTGAAATTGGAATTTTTGTCCAGATAATTTTCCCACCAACCTAACGATATCATAATGCATGCAATCGGTATGAGAATGGGATTATATGGTGTGGGTATACGTTCTTCTTGCATCATAATTGGCCACATTATAATTGCTGCTGCCTGTATAATCATGGAGATTATATCTAAAAATGTTTTATATTTGCTTTCATCTTCACGACGAGAAAATATGGCCAACATTGATGGAATGAAACAAAGACAATTGGTCAACATTGCACCTTTCACAACATCCAATGATGGAAATATTATGAATATTAATAACACCATTCCTAATGTATGAATGGTTTCGATGGCAAATACCTATGCAAAAGCGAGTGTCAATTTTTGTTAAAATAATTCAAAATATAAAACTTACAGTAAAAAATATCGATTTGGTCGGTATCCGATAGGATTTAAATGTACAAATACGGACACTACGAAATAATGTCATGAATTCGGGAAATACTAGGATGAAAAATAGACTCCATATCCATGCAATACGCTCCGGATCATCCGGCTGATAAACGGCAACATATTTTTTATCACGTTCTAATCCGGGTATGCCTTGTGCGCAAACTGGTACCGTTCGATTAGAACGTATCATGGATGTCATGAATAGAACGACACTTTTGGAAAAAACCGCCGTAAACAATACAATGAGGAATGTTAATAAAAATGTTATCAATTTTAAAAATTTCAAAATTTTTTCAATCCATTTCGAGCTGAGTGTTTCATCTTCGTCTTCCGGTGGTGTGTCGACGAAAACATCCCAACCTTTGGTCGGTTCAATGCAGCTACGATTATAGATGTCATTGATTTGGGTTGCATTTGCATGAATACTGCCACCACCACCATTGCCGATAATTTTATTGAGAATATGATCATCATTGTTATCATCAGCATCATTGTCGGATATAAATTCATTATCGAGATCATCGTTATTGGCAAAATGATGTTGATGATGTGATGTACGATGTTGTTGTTGTTGTTGTTGTGGATGGAAATGTGCACCATAATTGGAATTATTATTTCGAAAATTTTGTTGCTGTTGTTGATGAAGTGGATGATGAAGATGATTACCATTCAATCTTTGATAATCATAAATATCATTTAGGTTGGTCATTTTCCTCCAAAACTTTCAAACAAGACTCAGAGAAATTGAATTATTGAACACTTATCGATTCCATAATGTTGATGATGATAAAACACAGATTTAGTGCTGAATAGTGCAAAATACGTTACGTGTTAACTAATTACGATATTATTTAAGGTAATGACGAAAAACAAAACAAAATTAGTTAGTAATCATCCATATAATTTCCAAATCAAACGATGTGAGAAGAAATTACAAACAAAAAACATTGGGCGTCAATTGAGCCTTGAAGAGAATCTATTTGATGTGATCGAATTGTTTCATTTTGTTTGAATTGGATTGAAAGTTGACTTTATCATCACATCACTATTGTTAGCTCTATTCACAATTCAATTTTGTTACTTGTCTGTTTTTTGTGCACACATTTTTAGCAAGAAAAATAAAAACGGAACTTCTTTTGGAATGGAATGGTCATACGCATATACTGTGTATATCTGTTTTGTTGTTCGTGGCAAAAGAAAAATGAAAAGAGAGAGAGAGAGACACACACACTTAACAAAGTGACCAAAAAACATCTAATGGAAAATGTGTGTCAGTAATGAGATCTGAAGAAGGAGGAGATCATCGCCACAATCATCATCCAGGTGAGAAGTCAGTCAGATTTTCTTTTCGCCAAAGAAACTTGCCACGCGAACACAATGAATGAATTGAATTGTTTCCCCACACTGCAAATTCAAAACATGAACCAAAAAATGAATAGTGGAACCTTTCTGGATATGAACAAAATTCCCAAAAAAAGTGGGGGTGGAAAAAATATGCAAGGAGAGCGAAAAGATGAAATGATCTGCACATTTTCTCTCTTTTTTCAGATGTATCTTGTTTTTCTTGATCTTAATCTTTGAGCTTTTTCGTTTCTCTTTTCTCTCATCATTCAATTCTAGTTCTGTTTAGGACAGAAAAACCTGTTGCCTGTTGCATTTCTTGACCCAGTTTCCTTCCTTCATTCATTTACTTTATTTCATTTTTTGTCATTTTTTTCGGCTTTTTTTGTTTATGGTTTTGATTTATGGCCTTAACAGCCACTCTGATGATAATGATGTTATTTTAAACATTTATCCATAACGCTGATGATGATAATGATCTTTGAATGATAAGTACCCGACAAACAACGAATGTCAAATGATATTAATAAAGTCATTTCTTTCCGTTTATCAAATTTTTATCCAAACAAAAAATTTTATTGAAATTTTCGTTGAAATAACACGGATAGTTATTGCTAATAGGATTAGTTTTCTATGTGATTAATAAGTGAATTGTGTAACTGATTGAAAGAATTCAAATGGAACATTTTTGATAGTATTGCAAACTGCGATTAATCGATTCATCATGATCATATAATGGATCATAATCCAGGCGTAAAATAGCCTTGGTACGATTAAAAAAATATGTATTACAAATGAATTGAATAGTTTGTGGTGTTAAATAGTCTGGTATTCGGATTGGCAATATATTAGCAAAGTTTCGATATAGCCAACAGTATAATGTAAATAACATTATAAATAACCAATATGGATATGAACGTTTTGTCAGTTGATATCCACGTGCATTGATGAATGGTTCCAAAAATTCGAATGGATCCACTATTTTGGTATCATCAGTGATGATAAATTCTTCGCCAGTAATTTTCGGATCGATTTGCAAACGCTTTTTAGCTTTCAAACATGACCAAGCAACATTACCCACATAAACTGGTTGCATACGAGTGAATACATTATCAATGCGACGTAATTGACCAGAATTAGCTTTAGTGATGGATAATATTTTTGTAATGAAATGATTATCCTCTTCCCCATACATTAGATTTGGCCGTATGATTACTGTTTTCAATTGTTCACTACCATTCGATAGTTGACGGCCATTGAATTCCTTAATCAACTCTTCACTGTCAGCTTTAGTTTTGGCATATGGATTCAATAATGGTTTTTTCGGTATAATGATGGTATTCTCTGAACTATAATAAATAGGATCATTACCAATATTCACTTCGGTACCGGAAATATGAATAAAATATTCAACGTTATTTTCGATTGCCATTTCCAATAATTTTTGTGTGCCATCAACATTGACTGACTGCATTTCCATGAGGTTTGGCTGAAAATTCAAATCGATCAGTGCTGCACAATGTATTATTACATTCACACCAGTCATTGCATTTTTCAATTGTTTCTCATTACGTATATCTCCGGTTATGATTTGCATTTCTTTCGTTATTTTATGCTCTATAAATGTTTGAGAAAGAAAAAAAGCGAAAATGACAATTGAAAGTTGAAAGTTTTGAAAAAAGAAATATACTTAGATTGTTTGAAAATGGTTTCAAATCAAAGCAACGAATTTCCTGCACCGAATCATCTTGTTCATGTAGCAGACGGACAACATGTTGACCAAGACAGCCACTAGATCCGGTAACCAGAACAATTTGCTTATTTGATGTTTGATTGGCCATTTTATTTGGTCAGGATTTTTCCAATTTTTTCGTCGAAAATTCAAATTCAAAGTAATGTTGACTGATTGGAAAATCCAAAATTGACTGAAATTAGTGGGAGAAAAACAAAAATTGTTTGTGAATATTTTAATAATTACGAATTTCACATTTACATTTGATAAATTTGAATAGAAATAAACAAACAAAAACAAACACAATCAATCGATCAATCAAATATTTCTTGATTTTTTTGCACACTAAGATAAGAATTATTAATCACACCAATGAAATAATTTAAAAATATATCTCTCTCATGTGATAATCAAATATCGATTTTTCGTATGAAACTGATCGAAATCGTATTGCCAATTGATAACGGTGTTGGTTGGTTGTTGTTTAGAAAAATAGAAAAAAATTTGAATAAAAAAAAAGAAATTAATCGATGATTATCGTTTTTTTCATACGGTAAAAGTATATCAGTGAATCGAATTATTTTTTTGTCGGTACGAATTATCATTGGAAAATCAAATGGAAATTCGATGATGTTACCACTAATGATGATGTTGACGCAAATAAAGTATGTCGATCGAGTAGTGTTTGTAATGTTCACCTGTTTCTCTTTTCATTCTATCCTTAAATTTCTTCAAGCAGGAATTTCTTTAGAAAATATTTTTTCACACAATGGACACAATCTAATCATCGGACTTGGAATACACATTGTACTTTTTTCTCTTGAAAAAACGAAGAAACATCAATCAATCATCATTCATTGCAGGAAAAAAACATTTGTTTGAACAAAACAAAAATCAAGATAATGTTCGTCAAATCAAATTGGTCGTTTTTCCAAACAATTGTAGAGGGAGAGAAAAATGCAAACCGGTGACATACTTGACTTCCTTTTTGTTCAATTCAAATTCAATTTTTTCAATTGTTTGGTTTTGCCCACACATAGAGAGAAAAATGTTATGGACAGACCTTGCCTTGAATGTTATTTCAAATTTTATGTTTAGTGCATTATGTCTCGAAAGAAACGTAGTTGAAAAAGTGAAAAACTCTTTTCTCTTTTTACCGACAATATTTTGCTGTTATTTTCTGGAAAAATTGGATTGTTAAGTCGAAATACAACACAGGAAATATTTGTTTCTGTTTAACACATTTTTTTGATTATCAAAATTGACAATCGACCAGAAAAAAATCCAAAATGATACAAGTGTAAATCGGATGAATGAACCTGAACGGTATAAAACAACCAAAACCGCACCGCACAACCACTTGATCAATGCGATTAGATAATTTTTCAAACGAAAAAACATTGAAAATATTATTTTTTCTCTATTTTTTAATTTCTCTCGAGATAAAAACTCTATCAAATAATGGTTCGAATACAATACATTTGCTTGTTTGTATTTTTTGGAATTGAAAACGAAGACGAAAAAATCTATGATTCAAATGTAATGTTGGTCTTTGTTTAGTTTGATTTGTTTGTCAAGAACAAAAAAAAAATTCAAAAATAAAAAAAAATGGCGTGTGTGCGTGTGCACGGTTGAACATTAAATGAAATTAGGAAAAAACAAAAACAAAAAATAAAAATAAAAGCAAAGACTGGTGGGATTTGTCATGTGTCATTTTTTCTTCAACAATTTTGGTGTGTATCTAATGTTGTGTGTTAGGTGTGATATATAAACAATAATTTGATTCGAAATGTTATATATCATCTTCTTGATGGACGTTTTCCGATAAGATTACATTCCACGTGATTTTTTCAATGCTTCAACCTCCTATGGGGTGAATGGATGGAGAGAAAGATATAGAATTAACATTAGGAAATAGTCACCATTTGAATAAACAAATAATACTAACATTAAGAATGAATTGTCGCAAAATACTATATGCTTTTTCAATATCATCATTTGTTATGATTAGGTCAAACATTCCTTCGATTTCACCGAATTTTAATTCTTCAATTGCACGTTGTAAACGTTGTTGAACAGATTCTTCTGTTTCTGTACCACGACTACGTAAACGTTGTTCCTAAAATTTGGGGCAGAAATCAATTCAATTCAATGAAAATCATTGATTAGATTGAAAAAAATACAAACCAAAATTTCCAAACTTGGTGGCTTTATAAATACAAATCGTGGATTAAGATCAGTATTTTTAAGATTTCTTACACCGTCTATTTCAACATCAAGTATACAGATTTTTCCAGAATTCTGAACATCTTTGACAGCTTTTTTACTATTAAAGAAAAGATTGGTGAAAAATGCAAATCCATAACGATCAAATCATACCTGGTGCCATAATAATTGTTGGAAAAACGTGTATATTCAATAAATTCATCGTTTTGAATACTTTTTTCAAATGTTTCCGAATCAATAAAATAATACTCGCGTCCATTTTGTTCACCATTACGCGGTTTTCTGGTGGTATCTTGAATTGTAAAGAAAAAATTGATTTTCAAAAAATTCTCAACTCGGAAAAAGTGTACATACGAGAAATACTGAAACCAAAACAATCCTGAAATTCATTCATCAAACGTTTCAACAGCGTACTTTTACCGCTACCGGATGGACCAGCAATAACCAATGGTGCGGGTACGGCCAAAAATTGACATTGGTTATTCCATGTTTGACGAAGATTATAGGCTGTTGTCGTTGGCGATGATAAGAATGGTTTGATTAAAGATGGTTGATGGAAAAGATTAACAAAATTAACATCATTAGTAATATTATCATCATCATTCAATGATGTTGATTTTTGAATCAAATTCAGATTATTTTTAGTCGATGTTATCAATGATGTTTGTTTTTTGACCAATTGTATCGAATTGTTACTATTCGATGACAATGGTCGTTTATATAATTTTTCATTCGGGGTTCCAATCGACAACATTTTTTTCAATTTATTTTTTTCAAAATGAACCAGAAAAACGACAACAGCAAAAATTAATTGATTGAATCAACTCAATTCTTTTGAAATGTTAAAAGCAAAACGATGCGAAAGTGATGGATTTGGATTTGATGTAAAAATTAATCAATTTTCAGCAAAAAACATAACCGAAAAATCACTTTGTCCAAAGTATCGAAACAAAAATAACAAAACAATTATAATGGTAATGATGAAAATAAGGTGAAAACATTTTGAAATTCTGCAAACTGTTATTCAATGAAAATGTGATTAACAATGGAAAATTGTCCACGTTTTTATATTTATTTTGGTGATGATAATACTAACTACAAAAAACAAGAAATATGCTCAAATAAACCGAAATGGGAAATGAATGATTATTATCATCATTTGATCAAATAATGTAATGTTATTTGAAAATGATGATTATTATCACTAATCATAAAGTCACAATATTAAAAATGTATATTAATAATCTCTATTTCATCAATCATTTATTTAAAATGGTTATCAAGAAATATTTGTTTCAAAAAACAAACAAACAAACACAAAAGTAAACTTGGAAACAAAAAAAACTAAATAACGATAACAACAATGTCATATCAATTTATTATCACTGAAATTGATGATGATTTTGCAGAAAATAATAAACCGCTAAAGTAATAAAGTTTTTTTGTCTGTTCTATCTCTTCAACTCTCGTGTGTTAATCAAACATTGATTTTTTTTCTCGAAAAAATTCTTATTGCAATGTTGTTGTTAGATTTCGGTCGTTGAATTTCACATAACTGAATTGCTGTGGCTTAATGCAATTCTTCAGTGAAATAATTTCTCATCGGAATGACAAAACATAAGCTTCAACAACAACAACAATGTTTGCTTTAATCAAAACGTTATCCAAACGTTGTTTTATGATTTAAAAAATAGAAACAATTTTTTTTCAATGAAAACTAACACTGATATGATATTTTTCTATAAACATAACTGATGATAATGTCTAAAAATAGCTTAGAAATCAAAGAACGAGCGAAAAACAAAAACCAATTTCAAGGACCTAAAATACGGCGACATAGGAAAACAATCCGACAGACACTTGATTATAGATAAATACCTACCATTATCTGATAATGTTTCTCCGCCATTATCGATGACAACGCCAGTGGAATAATTATTACTATTCAAATGATAGTTAATCTTTTTATTCTGTATGATGTTCGATAGATACGATGAGGATGTTGTTGACGATGATGATGTTGACGACATGATTATCGATTCTATAAAAAAATGTGAAATTCATATAATAACTATCACCACAAACACACGCACAGACCTGGAATGAATTCAATGTCCAAATAAAATGTTCCAACAAAGATTCTGACAATGATGGTGATGATTGAAAAATGAAAAAAATTGCCAAGATCCGGTGCCAACTATTTATACCTATCAAGATTCTGAAATGTACAAATAATAATCATTAATTTGGCCATTTGTTTTGATTGGATTCCATTTAATTTCATGGTCAATGTCAATATTATTATTATATTCTGGATATACAATAAAACAATATCAAAAAACTAATAAAGAATTTAATTGGGACATAATTGCATTTTTGTTTTTCGTTGGTTTCTCTGTTTAATTTCTTTTCATTACCATTAACCAACAGAATTGAAGGTTAATTGATCGAATGTCATTGAGAGTATTGTTGGTTCATTCTTATTTTTCATTTTATCAATCAATTTTTATTTGTTTTTGTCTGCCGTTCAATCTAGTGTATTTTGAATTTGATCAATTAATAATGATTGTTTTTTCCTAATTTATTTATCCAAAAAACCACCACCAACAACAGCAGAGAAAATCCTAATGACAATGATTATTGATTCAATTCTAATATCCGTTTCAATTATCAATCATGGACTTGGTGAAAAAATTGCCCAATTTTGTTTTTGTTGATCAATATTCATCAATCGAAGCAATCGAAATGATTGATTGATTATCGATTTCATTTTCACCAACAACTATCACACATCATCATCATCATTACTTTCTCTATTTCTGTTGAAACACAAGCTTATGATGATGTGACAAATGTAGACGACATCAAATGCTGCTGACGACAATAATCATTGATTATCATCATCATCAAGTTTGATGATAACTTTTCTCTATAAAAATATTTTTCCTGATTAGATTAGTGCATTCATTCTCATTCATTAAATCGAAAAGAATTGTAAAAATACAAACCAAAGTACACAATACTTACTTGTTGAGGATTTCAAAATTATTTTCGAAATAAAGAAGCAAAGAAATGACAATTTTTCTTGGTGAAAAACAAAACAAAATTACATTGGAGTTTGTTGAAAATAATTGAATAATTAGTAATATCCAAATACTGAGTGAAAAAAGAATCAATCACTTTTCAATCACATTACTAGCGAATGAAAGGCAAATAATTAGTTTGGCAAAGAATTTTCCATTTTGAGAATTGATTTCCATTATCATCATCATTGTTGTTGTTGTTGTCCAGTGAATAGTGATGTTTATTTAGTTTTTATTTAAATCAACATCAACGACGACAACAAACAAAACACATTGACTCATGCATGTCATCAAACCTGAACCGTGTGAAAAGAGCATGCTCGTCGTTTGTTTGACAAACAATCACCATGTGGCAACGGTTGAAAACAGGAAAAAAACACTCAAAATGTTAACAAATTCCAAACATTTTGATTTTTCAATTTTGCAATTTTTCAATTTTGCAATTGAATTTTTTGTTGAAAACGCGTTTTCAAGTTATTTACATAATTTCCAAATTTTTCTTTTGTCGGTTTTCACTTTGAAATTAATGAATATTTCAAAGTTGCAATTGCAAAACCAACCAGGTTGATAACCACTGTCTCTTTTTTCGGTTAATTTATTTTTAGATTAAATCCGAAGTGTAAATGTTGCTTTTGTCTGTTATCGCTGATTAGATTCAGAATTTATTTAGCAAACAAAATCAATTTAGATTTCCGCATAGTACATGTAGTGTTGAACTCGATTAAAAAAATAGCGCGTCACTCCGAACGCAATCATGAGAGAAAATTCTTTTGAAATTTATTTTCATTTTATTCGACAAAAAAAATCATATATGAAAAGGAAAAGCATATAAATACACCCATGTAGGTGTGGTATGGGTGGAAACAGAATGAAAGTGATGATGATGAAAGTGATTGTCTTTTGTTTGAATGAATGGATGATGTTTTTTACATATGATATTTAGTTAAAAATTGATTAATTTTACAAGAATTGTTCTGTTTGGCGAAATAAAGCTCATTAAAAGTGTTTGTTCAGACGTAATCATCGAATTGTTGTTGTGGGTGATGACAATGATGATCATGATTAATGAAACAACAACAGAATTGTCTAATAATACCATTCCAAGAGCTGACAGTTTTCTCCGACCAAATCCAAAAGCCCGATATTATACCGGGCATTAAAAAGCTTAAATATTTGGCCAAATAAATTATTAATTTAGGTTTCGATGGCTGCATGACATTATTGTTGATATTGGTTGTCGATGTCAATGATGTGATTGGGGTAAAACTAGGACATGGTATGCCATAATCGAATCTAGAACAAACATCTTGCAACCATGATAATAGGAAAGAATCCAAATTCAACTGTTCATAGTAATAACATGCTATCATTGTGAATGATGGTATCAGGTACAGTATGGAAAAGAAACCAATTTTGATCATGAATTTATCAAATTTTTTCAGATTTCGTGATTTAGATTTCATTGTGGTACGAATGTTCAATAGTGATATGAAACCGGATACAAGGAAAATTAATCCCAAAATCAATAGAATTGCTATCGGTATGAGGACAAATATTATCATATAGGATGGATTCCATGTACTGATGAAACATACGCCGGTCAGTACATCACCTTCCAGTTTGTTCATAGCCAATACTAAAATGGTCATTATAGCCGGTATGGTCCATGAGAATAGATGAAAATAATGTGAATTGGATTCAATGGCTTCATTGCCCCATTGTAAACAGGCGGATAGAAACCAGGATATGGTCAATATGATCCACCAAATAGCGTTGGATATGAGGAAAAAATATAATGTCATAAACAAAAGGGTACATTTTTCATTCTTGTTGCCCTGCGTTATTGTACGTATCATTTGTACATTTGTATGTCCTTGTGGTTGAGGAAATGGTTGATTACATGCAACCGAATCGTTGAGAAGAAAACCAAACAGAAAAACAATACCGATAAAAAAATAACATATGCTCAAAAATATTATAGCACGTTCCGGATATTCAAAACGTTTTGGTTCGATCAAAAATGTCAATATGGTGAATAATGTTGATATTACGCAGAATATGGCCCACATTCCGGTCCAAATGCGTATCAGATGACGTTCTTTTGAATCGAACAACAGACCATCACAAGGCATGCCACAGTCTTTATGTTCTTTGCCATCAATACGAAATACATAATCCATTCCGGACGGTACAACAAAATTCAATGGACATTTGAATGGTAAATGATGTATGGTTGTCATATTGGATGTAGCATACTGGTGATGATGGTGATTAGCATAATGATGGGAGGATGGATGTTTATTAGCACGATTGTACCAACTATTTATATCGATAGCATGCGATGATGGGGGAAAGTGTTGATCAATCACATCATTCGGTTCATTTTGATGGTGGTGATCATTATTCTCACCGAAACATAATTCTTTATCCGATTCGGGAAATTTTTCACAGTTGAGATATTCAGGCCAATGAAAACCAAACTGTGCCATAAGCACATCGCAACCGGTACGTGCTGAAATACACAACGAACGACATGGCTTTAATGGTGTTTCCAGTACATTACAAACGGGAACATAAATGGAACATAAAAATATTTGTAAATGCGGACTACAATTCACTTTAACTAATGGCAGATATTGATGCACTTCATCTTTAGCCGAATCTTGATTAATGTGACCCAAAATATTTGGCAATATAGTTTGATTGTATTGGATATCCATACACATTGGTATGGTGATTGGTTCACAACGTTCAGGTAATGTGATTGGTTCATCTTCAACATGTTCAATAATACAATCAATCAACGATATGATTGATAATATTATCAATACTATTTCCAAATATTTATTACTCATTTTATATTCAAATGTCAATGTCAATGTTGTTGAGACTATTCAATTACAACCTGTTGATTGATTTACACATCATTTTTGTTTTGAAACAAATCGAAATTCAAAATTTTAATTAAAATTCACCGATCATCACAGATTTGTTTACAATTCTTCTCATCCACACTCACTCACATAAACAAAAATAGTTGCTAACATGAGCTCATCGTTGTTGTTGATAATGGTGAAGAAGATGGCTCAACAGGACCACGATTTACGACCACCACTACGATCACCATCAACAACAGTCCCAACCATAAGTATGTCGAGTGGGATAAAGAAAGAGAGAGAGAGAGAAGCTATCCCGGTGATAACACACACACACACACACCGCGAAAATGGTAAATAATAAGGGGAAAAAAGCCACCCGACAACTACAAAGAAGGAGTGGAATCATATCATTGGGTTGAAGCCATGTTGGTGGGTAACCATACTACAGCAGCATAAGAAGAAGAAGGAGAAGATTTGAAAGAAAACAAATTTTCTGAAATGCAGCATTCTTTGCAGATTAAAATGATGGCCAGTTGATTATGAAGTGGATTCTATCTTATCAATACCTTTTGAACTGTGCAATAATGCATCCACACCAACGTTGGATAAATCGACGGCTGTATCATTGATTGTGAATGAATTATTCTTTTCATCATTATCATCGGCGGTTAGCTCTGGGTTTTGATTCGAACCATAAACATAGCCCATATAACCGGCAGCTGCCATACCGATTATTAAACTGGATATAATATTATGATGATTTTCATTTTCTGATTCAACAACATTTGCTGGTGATTTGATTTGGGGATAACTATAATCCATGGGTGGTGCTAGCTGTTGTTGTTGTTGTTTTTTGAAAAATTTAGGATTATTAAAGAGATAGGAACGATATCTAGATGATGATGGTGGTGGTTGTTCGGCTGATGAAAGATTACTGGGATGATGAAGATTAGAACATAATTTACGATAATATCGAATAGTGATTAAAATAATGACTAATACTATTACTATAAACGTCATGTATGGTGATGATTGTCTTCTATAGGGTTTGGGTTTGGTTCTATCATAATTAATGTCGATAGAATTTCCATCATCAAAGCCAGGACGGTGATCAGAATGGTAACGTTTTTCAATAGTATACAGCATGGCACAGGAATCAGCTAAAATAAATTCATTATCATCAGGCGAATGATAATTTTCACAAATGACATCATATGGTCCAAATCGATATTGCCAAGGCATATCAGCTTCGCATTTCCATTGTATGGATGGATCGTGCTCATCCAAACTACCACCGTTATAACATTGAACTGTGGATATTTGCAAATCATCACAATAATCACCAATACATGTTAATTGCTTGATTGGTGACGATCGTCGTGCTTCAGTCAAACGATCCGCATATAATGTCAATGTTTGAATATCTTTTAATTTGATACGATCATTATTGTCTGCCATCACCATCATCAATATCATGAAAAGTGATAAACATGTTGGATAGGTATTAATCATTTTTGTTTAGAAACAAAATCAATGAAATTCATAGAAAATGAATTTCTGTTAAGATGGATAACAATGACATTCATGTCAGGAACCAGGACAAAACAATGTCTATATAACAGAGGATATTCTAGGCCCAAATTCATCATTCCATTTGCCAAATTCAAACGATAGATAGCATTACTGAACTTTGGGCGAGAATCGCATCACTAGATGGCGAGAGCCTTTCTAGGAAATAAAAATAGGAAAGTAAAATGTGAAATGATAATAATAATGATTATTAATAGTTCAGTCACTAATTTCATAATTGAATTAATCAAGTTTTGTTTATCGTCGAGAACTGGATGCAAAACCAACCGATTCTCCAATACTGGTACTATTATCTAAAAATCCACCACCGCGGCTTGATCTTCTATCCCCAAATGGTGATCTCGATCGATTTCGACTTGCATCACCTAAACCACATAAATAACCCAGAATACCGCCAACACACGCACCACCTAATGAACCCGGATTTCGACACATACAAAAACAACAGACTAGTGCTATCAATACAAATATTATTATCGTTATAGTGGAATAGTATCCGGCATTTGGCCCGGGGGTCGTTTGACCAGGACCACCACCGCCACCACCACCTCCACCGCCGCCACCGCCACCGCCACCGCCACCGCCACCACCTTCACGATCTACAATGGTATATCGTAGGCCACAGGAACCAGCCAAAATGTATTCGTCTTCGGGTGAATCATAACCTTCGCAGGAAACATCCAATTGTCCGAATTTATATCTGTTGGGCATATCGGCTTTACATTCCCATTGTATAGATTGACCATCCGATCCACGGTTATAACATTGAACTGTTGATAGTTGGACACTGTCACAATGGCCACCACCGGTACATGTTAATTGTTGAATTGGCGATGATCGTCGCGATTTGGTTGAAGTGCCAGACTGAAATGTTAATGCTTGAATATCCTTCAATAGGACACGATCATCACTCTCAACAATGACCATATAAATAGAAAAAGAGAATAGCAAATTATAAATATAACAAGCGTTCATCATTCTTTCTTTTGCTCTCTATTTGGTTCGATATTTTAGAAGAAAAAAGCAACTGACAAACTTGAGAAAACAAAACAAACAATTCAAATTCGATTGAATTTGCCAACCCGAACAACGTTTATATAAGTGGTTTGCTGAACATGGTTAGCATCAATCAATATTTATTGGTTATTCGATTAGAATTGATTATGATTCATTAGCAAATAATGCAATTAATCAAGTTTTTCGATGCATTGTTTCTCACTACCCCCACCACAACGCTTTATTGCAATGATAAACTAAGGGATGATGTTCTATCAATATTTGAATTGGGTGATATGGTTGCATTTTGATTTGAACCCATAACACTACCTCCAAATGATTCAGAGGAATTTTGTCCTTTTCTATCACTCTTTGATCGTTCTAATGACTTTGGTTGGGCTGGTTTGACATTTGGATTCGGATTTGTTCTATAACAAAGACAACAACCAAACAATAATATGAACAGTGCAACCATTATAGTGATGGTTATGCTCGAAATTTCATTATCATCATTATCATTATTATTATTATCATCATCATCATCATCATCGACAGCATCGGAACGTTTTGCAATGGAATATTGTAGAGCACATGAATCAGCCAAAATATATTGATCTTGAGGTGAATCATAACCTTCACATGACATATTTACTTGTACCAGTTTATATTTGGAAGGCATATCACCTCTGCATTCCCATTCGATAGATTGATTGGATCCAACATTAAAACATTGCGCCACTTCTAGTTTAACACGGTTACAATTGCCACCCCCAATACATTTTAATTGTGGAATTTTTTGATTTCGCCTTGTTTTGGCTAATCGATCAGACTCGAATGTCAATGCATCAATATTTTCCAATAGGATGCGATCATTTGGCTGTGCCATCACTATCACTATCAAATTGATTGAATAAACCAGTAACATTGAATGATGATTGATCATTTTTGGATTTTTCAATTCAATTCAAAACCAAAAAATTGCCATTTTCAATCTTTTCCAAATTCCAACAACATTCATTTAGCATATTTGCTCAACATTGTTGGCCCAATCACCATTTATTCATGATTCGATTGAAAAGAAAATGATTATTGGCTAATAATAATATTTATAATGATAGCAATGTGGCAAAATAATTTATTCTATTTATTCCAGTTTGTTTTAGGGGATGCCTCTCATTTACCCCTTTACCAAATTTTGGACGATCGAGATCGATTAACTTGGTTGCACTGTTGAATCACTTGGTGGTTCGACCTAACCCTCATCGATTTTTTTTGATATTTACAATAGCAACAGCAACAGCAACAGCAGCATATTATGACCAATATTACTACGATAATCGTAACCGTGGTCCATTCGAACGAAAAACCTGGTATAGGTAAAACGCAACCTACTAGACTACATGAACCAGCCAAAATGTATTGATCTTGAGGTGAATCATAACCTTCGCAGGAAATGTTTACTTTTTTGAATACATAATTGGAAGGCATATCAGCTGTACATTGCCAATCTATAGATTGATTATCCGATCCTTTATTATGACATGTAACTGTTGATATATTCATACTTTTCATATTGCTGCAATGGCCATTTCCACACTCATCATTATCAATACATGTTAATTGGGCAACTGAATGATTGCGTCTGGATTGGGTTAGACGGCCAAACTCGAATGTTAATGTTTGAATATCTTTTAATAGGATACGATCACTTTGCTGTGCCATCACTGTCACCATACACATCATGCAATATAAAGCAATAAACAATAACATCCAATTACAACCCTTAATCATTCTCCTTTCTTTTATAAAATTCACAACTTCAAAAAAAACAAAATAATTGGAATGAATGTGTGAAAGTTATATAACTAGTTTGCAGAACATTGTTGACCGCAAAGAATTGTTGGATTTATTCATGATTCGATTCAAAAGAAAATTATTATTGCCCAATCCAATTGATAGATGGCTTTTTTCACCGATCCAGAAAATGAAAAAATGTGAAAAAATGATAATAAGGATAATGAAAATGATGTTTATTAATTGTTTTATTAATATGATTGATTGAATGAATCAAGTTTGTTTTATCGTTGAGAAGTGGATGCCCAACCAATCTAATTCATCATACCACCACCTTAACCTCTGGTTGAACGATCGGTCAATTCACTTGGTCGGGCTGTTGAAACACTTGTTGGTGCTTCACAATCTGGATCCGATTTTTTTTGACAACAACAACAGCAACAACAGCAACAACAACCGCAGGATAATACGAGCAATATTATTATTATAAAGATTGCCATTTTCAATTTGAACATTATACCACGATCTTCAAGGTAATATTGTAGACTACATGAACCAACCAAAATGTATTCATCTTCAGGTGAATCATAACCTTCACAGGAAATGTTCTTTTGTACTAATGCATAATTGGAAGGCAAATCAGCTTCACAATGCCATAATATAAAATTGTTTACCGTTCTATTATTATAACATGTAACTGTTGATACATTCACTTGGTTACAATAGTCATCGCCAACACATGTTAATTGGGCAACTGCTTCATTTCGTCTGGATTTGGTTAAACTGCCCGAATGAAATGTCAATGAATCAACATCTTTCAATTTGATACGATCATTTTCCTGTCCCGCCACTACTTCTATCATCATCATGCAATATAAAGCAATAAACAATAACATTAAATGATGATTAACCATTTTTCTTTATTTCATAAAATTCAAAACTAAATCAAAAAAACAGAACGAAATGATTGGAAAGTTATATAACTAGTTTGCAGAACATTGTTGACCATTGTTTGTTGGATTAATTAATGATTCAAAGGAAATTATAATGGATAATAATAATAATAATAATAATTTATTGAATTAGTCAAGTTTTTTGTCAGTTGAGAGCTGGAGGTGGTGTTGCAGCAATATCTAAATTGGGTGATATGATTTGATCTTGGCTTGAACCAAATAGATAGCCCATGAAACCACCGGCAGCTGCACCGCCTAATATGCCCGGTATAATACTGATTGCAGATGATTTAGAGGAATGTTGCTCTTTTTTATAACTGTTTGATTGTTGTAATGGCTGTTGTGGTGCAATACTATAGTCTTCAGATGATTCCGAGGAAAATTGTCCAATTCTATAACTCTTTGATGGCTCGAATGACTGTCGTGCTGCAACACTACTTCTCGGCAATTTAGAGGAATATTGTTTAATTCTATGACTCTTTGATGGTTCTAATGGCTGTCGGGAAGGAATCCTACTTCCAGGTAATTCGGAGGAATATTGTCGAATACTACAACTCTTTGATGGTGATTGGGATTTGGTTGTTGTTGCACGATTTACAATTGGCTTCGATCTTTTTCCAGGACAACAAAAGCAACAACAACAACAACTGAATAATATGAGCACTGCAATCAAAGTTATTTTCATGCTTGACATTTGTAAAAATCCCCCATCATCATCATCATCATCATCGTGAGCAGCATCACCAGCATGGGAACGTTCAACAATGGAATATTGTAGACTGCATGAACCAGCCAGAATGTATTCATCTTGAGGGGAATCATAACCTTCGCATGACATGTCTAATTGTCCGAATTTATAGTTGGACGGCATTTGGGCTTTACATTGCCAATGTATAGATGGACCATTGGTTCCATTATTGTAACATGTAACTGTTGATATATTGACACTGTTACAATGGCCATTACCGACGCATTTCAATTGGGAAATAGTTTGATTACGTCTTGATTTGGTTAAACTGGCAGAATGAAATGTTAATGTTTGAATATCTTTTAATCTGACACGATCATTATTGTCTGCCATCACTATCACTATCAACACCATCATGCAGTATAAAGCAATAAACAATAACATCAAAAGATGACTTTTACAACGATTAATCATATTGTTTCTTTAATAAAACTTAAAAGAAAAATAAATAATTTCAGACAACAAAATTGGCATTACAATTTGTTTGAAAAAGCCAACTAACGTTTATATAAGTTGTTTAGAATATTTTTCTTAATTCGATTAAGCGTGGAGTATTAGTCTAAGTAACAATACTCAATTTGCAACCAAATCGAATGAAAATAACTAATAAATGAATAAGTTTCTTTTTCTTTTTATCGTTCGGAAGTAGATGCAAAGCCAGTCGATTCGATCATACCGCCACCATCATCGATATCGAATGATGAATTGCCAAATGTATCGATGGTTGATGGTCGACTGAAATTATCACCACCGTAATCCGGTACGGTACGATTTTGACTTGCACCAAATAGATATCCCATAAGACCACCGGCAGCTGCACCGCCCAATAAGCCAGGTAAAAAATTACTTTTCCCTCCGGATGTTCCACCACCAATGCCACCACCATAATTTGGATAACCATGACCCATTGGTTGTTGTAATGGCTGTTGTGGTGGTGATTGTTGATCAAATAGATCTGGTCGAAATCCAGGTGCTGGCGGTGCTGTAGGTCTCGCAAAGAATGGGTATTGATTAGCATCATTAGCCGGATGTGAATCGGTTTGATTTGGTTTGGATTTTTTTCGAAGACATTTATAATAGATGAAAAAGATGATCAAGGCAATGATTATGATTGGTATGAAGGAAAATGATTCATTCGAAGTTGATTTTGGTTTCATTTGATTAGCATTACCAAAATAATTTCCACCTGGCTGATGACCAGCACCACCATCAACAAGCGAACGTTTTTCGATGGTATATCGTAGGCCACAGGAACCAGCCAGAACGTATTCATCTTCAGGTGAATCATAAAATTCGCATGACATATCCAATTGTCCGAATTTATATTTGGAAGGCATTTCGGCTTTACATTCCCATTGAATGGATCGACCATCCGATCCACGATTATAACACTGAGCTGTCGGTATTTTCACTTTATTACAATATCCACCAACACATGTTAATTGTTGAATCGGTGATGTCAGTCTTGATTGTGTCCAACGATCCGAATATAATGTTAATGTTTGAATATCTTTCAATTTGATACGATCATTATTCTGAGCCATCACCATCGCTATCATCATGACAAGTGTTAATAATAGCAATAAATATTTACGATGAATATTCATTTCGATCTGAGATGAACCAAACAAAAACAAATTCAAAGGTATGATGATGACATTCAAGTTGAAATATTTTGAAAACAAAAACAATGTCTATATAACTGGTTGTTGAACATTGCTGAATATTACATCACTTATTTTCATTCGTTCGATAAATGAATTAAACAAAATAGACGCATTATGGCAATATTTTACACATTTCATCGATGGATGGCAGTACTGGATTCATGAAACTTGGATGCTGATCACCAGATGGCAATAGAATTTTTTTTTTTAATTCTTTGAAATTGAAAAAATGCATCCATTCAAAGCAATATTTCTTGGAATTCCCTAGTCTTTTCAATTTCACTTTCTTTTTTTGCTCTTCCAATCAATAAATCACAATTTGTTTTTTATGGTTTAATTTGTCAGTCTGAATGGTATTTGAAAAGCAAAAATTGTTTTTCTCGTTGAAAGAAAAATGAATAAATTTGGAAGGTATGAAGAAAAAGGTAAAGAATGGTGAGATGACAACAACAAGCAAAAAAGAGATTTAGAGAAAAAAGATAATTTTCTTATTTTCTTATTTTTCAGCATTCGACAACGAACAAGAGAAAGAGATGTTTGATATTATAATATCATCATATGACAATATCATCCCCATCAACCACAACCACTGCCTCGATCTGACTGGCTAGCTGATTATCAGGCTTGTGATCACATAAAACAAACATTCAATTTAGGTGCAAATGAATAACGAAATGGTCATCATGATGAGAATGAGGATCGTGATTGATGAATTTGGAGAAAACAGATGAATCAATTCCAAACCAAACACCCAAATGCATGATAATTTATTGAATTTTTCCATGAAAATGAAATGAAATGAAAATATTTCTATTTTTGGAAAAAGATTTGAATGACATGCATGTGAATGGAAGGAAAAGGCATTTGAATAACCAGAGCATGATTAGTTAATATGTGTTTTTGCCGCATTTTGGGCACAACCTGTTGATTTGTCATTTTGCTTTTGAATATTGATAATTTGACTCAATTTACCAAATATCATATTGAATTTCATTGGCAAAAATATACATGATGCATATATGCCATGTTTAGTTGATAATGATAATCAATAGAAATTGAATGCAAACAAGAGATTCGATTCTATTTGGTTTGATCAGAAACCTGATTGTTTTGTTGATTTTGTTTCATGATGATGATGATCGGGCAAAAAACCTAGTGGTTTTCCATGTTTACATCAAAAGATGATTACCACTTCCACCATTGGATAGTTCTTCATCATCATTTTGACACATTTGAATTTTATCATTTTCTCTCTCTCTGTTCGTTCGGATGACATAATGCTGGATGATAATTATTTTATTTTATCCTGGATGGACAACAACTTAAATCCTGACATCATCATCAATGGTTATCAACGACAGGCACTTTCCGTTTCCTTCGCACAAAAGACAAACATGAAGCGAAATGTATAAAAATATCCAAACAAACAAACATCTTTTTCTTTAAAAGGCGTGGAATGTTGGTTGTTTTTTTTTGTAAATATGAGTTCAGTTATATAACCACTTCTTTTGCATCAACATCTTACCTATTTTTGTTGTTGTTGATCACATCCATCCAATAATCATCATTTATGCATGATTGAAGGATTCTCTCTCCTGTTTCTTTTTCAATTATCGTTGAAACAAAAATTAAAAAAATCCAAAGACAGATCAACCAAAAAGAGAATCTATCGTAGTGCTTGTTGTTTTGGTTTTTTCGAAAAATTCAAGTTTTTTTCCCATTTTTCCACCTGGTCTATTAGGTTGGTTGGGAGCCAAATTTTCCATTTTCAATATTCTATGTGGACAAATTCAACGTTATCTCATATTAGTTGAAATAGTGCTACTACCTTCCAAACAACAAGTACCTGCTAGGACCTGTTTTATTCATCTTGATTTTGCTGGAAGAAAACTTAGTTTGTCAAAAGAGAGAAAATAACCGAATGGAACATGATAGTGAAAGAAATCACCATTTTTACCATAAGATTATTATCATCCATTCTATTGCCACAGCAACTACGAATTTTCTCAAAAAACAACATCAAAGACAAAGTAGAAGAAAAAAGATTACAGTTGTGGTGTGTGTGGTAAAACAAAAGCCAGAATACAGCACCACCACCACCGACCGTATTCACATTTGATCTTCTTCTACCTTGTTTGATTCGGTCAGTTTGCAATCAAGCACATACCACAGAAATACCTGATCCTGATCAACAGGTGAATAAGAAATACTGACGGTGATGGTGAACAAGTAGAAGACGAAACCAAGTTGACAACAACAACATTTCTCTCTTTTTGCCTTGTTCGGTGGTTGATTTGGTTTCATTGGAAATTTTCGACGTGTAAAAATAACGCGCGTGGCTTTATGTGTTTTTGTTACAATTTGTTTGTTTGTGATTCTTGTCTGTGTTTGGTGTGGATGATGTAATTAATAATATTGTTTCAGTTTTGGCTGAGCTGAACTGAGTGCAACAAAAACAAAAATGGAAATTTCTGGGCCAAAAAGTGTGTCCGATTCTGCATGGATTTAGTGTTTGGTTATGAATCTGTTGTTGTTGTTGTCATTCTGTTTGTTTATTTTCAATGTTTCAATGTTTCATCTCGACCACAACAATAACAACATTATCAACAACAACCTGTGTGATGACGATTATGATGTTTGCGCGAAAATGGCTGCCAACATTGTAATTTTCTATGCTTCCTGGTAAATAAATGGCGAATGCTGCTTGGTGTGTGTGTTTTTCGAGTGAAAATATTTGTAGCCTGTTATTTGATTTTTGGATGTGATTTATTCGTAAAAAATTATTCGCATCAACAACAACAAGTGAAAAGCAAAAAAACATTGAAATTTTGTGAAGGAAATCGAAAATGAATCAATTTTTCCATTGATTTTAAATCGATCTCTGCGTTACCTATTTTTCTAAATTTCCTTTATCATCATCATCATCGAGCAACGAATCCAATGTGAAATTTGAATCGCAAAATGAAAATAAAAATTCATCGTTGATTTGATGGTTTGATAACAAAACTTTTTTTGGAAAATCATGATCACTACGTCGAACTAGCATCTGATTAGCAACAAGTGTTTTTTCGTTTTTTTGTACAAAGAAAATATTTTTGTTTACAACAAGTGTCAAAAGTGTGTGATCATTCCATGGAAACTGATATTTTCTTTTTCATTGAATATGTTATCCATGTGAAATCTTAATCAGTATCGTTGTTCGTTTTGTTTGATTCAATGTTTTTTCAGCATTCGTTCTTTTTTGATTTTTTGTGAATTTTTTATTTTTTATTTTTTGAAATTTTTTCCAAATTCATTCAACTGATAGTGACAGTATTTTTTCTGGAAAAAAATTCTTAGTGTTTTGTTAAAATTTTGTTCGCCGGTTGATATTTGATTGATCAGTTAGTTGAATATCTCTCATATTACATCATTATTGGAGAAAAATGAATATTTTTTGAATAAAATAACTGGCATTCAACAAAATTATTCATGATGAAGATTGAGGATCGAAAGCCAAGAACTCGTAATCGAATCATTCATAGTTATAATGAATCACCAGAAACAAGATTAATCAAAGTGCAACATATCGATGGTGGTGAAAATCACCATTCTCATCCAGATCATCATTATCATCATAGTCATAATTACCATGGCCATTATAGATATAATTATTATTTAAAGTTTGTAATGTTTTTTATACAGCTATTGTTAATTACCTCATCCATAGCCACAACGACAACATCGAAAACATCGACCACAACAACAACATTATCTCCGATTGATACATTTGTTTTACATCACCATGGAGATGGTAAGATTTTTATCTTTTAATACACATTTACATTATGCTAATCGATTGTCATCTATGATTGAATGTTTGGAAATTTTCAAAAATCGATTAGCAACAATCGATTGTTGACATTTTTGCCAGATAGCCAAAGAATCGAATGTTTATTGATTTGGCTAAAATGGAAAATGATCGTTTATTACTGATTTGGTTTTTCATGCAAAAGTCATCAGTTGATCGAAATCGATCATTTCGTTTCGTTGGTTGGCTCGGTTAATAGAGTTTTGTGTGTGAGTGAGTGAGTGATAGGTTACCATCATCGACAATGACGATGATGACGAAGACTTGATTGTGGCCAAAAAGATCATCGACATCATTCACATAGAGAGCCGGTCTTTTTTGTTCTGAATGTCTGGCCTGGCATTTTTTGATCAGTTCTTTCGTTCGTTTCTCTCATTCGCATCGATTTATTCGTTGTTTCAATTCTCCAGTTTGTTGCTTAACCTTAACTTTAGTTCAGGTCTACGAACCATGATCATCATCGTTCATGATGATCATGATGATGGCCATGAAAAATGAACATTGATCGACTTGTTGTCGATTAGTGGAGTGAAAAAAATCTTTTTTTCCATCAATTTTTCTTATCAATGATATTCGTGGAAGAAACTTGTTGAACGAGGTTTTTTCCAATAAGAATGATGATGATGATCTTGATGTACAATCAAATAAACATATATCATTTTGTTCATTCATTAAATTCATGGCGAACAAAATTTGCTAATGAATTTAATTCGGTGAAATTTCGTTGTTTTTTCATTCATTAGAAATATAATAGGAAGAGACATTGATTGATCTGGACAACATAAAGTTCATTTGTCATCGTGATCATCATCATTAGCTTCCGATAGTTTTCTTGTTGTTTTGATAGGATATTGATCATTTCGCTTGAATTTGTGTTTTCAATTTTAACTAGAATTGATGATCAATTGCCGTTCATTAGCCTCTTGATTTATCAATTTTAAAATTTGGTTAATTTTTTAATTATTTCTGAATTGAATTTGCAATATGAGTTTCGGTCATAATCTTTTTCCATGTCGGATTGATTGACCTGAATTCGAACATTCAAAAAAAATCACATCGATTGATTGATCGATTGTTTATTCAGCTTTTTGTTTATACAACCTGTTGATTGATTTGAAAAGACACTTTTTATCCAATTTAAAGAAATTCTCCAGAAACAAATCCTAATGAAGGAATTTGTCTGTTTTTTGCCTAATTAATGTTAATTACTATTATGATGAATGAAAGAAAAAAAAATAGTCACATTATCGATTGATGATTATGTGAAATTAGGATGCCATAGCAGTGATAGTGGTAACAATGATGATGCAACAATGCTCAAATGAAATTTGATGTAATGTCTTTCTCAAGGTTATCATAAATTATCAGATTTTCTTTTCTTTTTCTGTCACTACTTTTTTTGAAAATTTCATCAATCGTCAATCGATCGATTTGGTTGATTTGTTACGGTTTTGGTTTTTCGGTTCTCCTCATGGTGACGATGATGGCTTTTCTATTTCGATAAACGATGATTGTTTGTTTGAAATGGAAATACAAAACAAAATTTATTTTCGGTTGATTGAAAATGAATGGAATTTCAAAGAGTTGAGGGGGAGAATGTTGTTTTTGCCTCACTCCAATCCTCTTACTCATTGAAACAGGAAACAATGAATGAAATTAGGAAAACAACAAAAATAAATTTACGGATTTTAAATTTCAAAAAATTCATTACAAATTTTCACTACCGGTCTTGCTCTAGATACGGTTTTTTGTTCGGTACTTATTTCTTCACCAATCCGATGTGTGTGTGGATATTTAGGACATCATTTGTTTGCTGGTTTGAATTGTATGTCCAGTCGTATTTGAAAAATTTATTTGTTGACACGGATGATGTAACTGAACAATGTAACCATACGCATGGATGAATGAATTTTTTGTTGAATTAATTTATTGTTTAAATTTGTTTCAAACAAAACCAAAAGGAATCTTGTCATCAACATTTGCAAATAAATCATTATCATCATTATTATCAGCAACGTCATTATCATCGCTAAACAATTGTACATCGGATCAATTCCGCTGTAATAATGGAAATTGTATACCTAAGCGTTGGGTTTGCGGTATGTGTTTTTGTTTGGCTAATTATTAAAATGGATGATGATTTGTTTGGTTGCAATTGAAATTGAATAGATTTTCAAAAGGATTGTGAAGGCGATGAAGATGAAAACCAATCCTGTCCACCACCACAATGTGATCCAAACCAATTCACCTGTGGTCAATATGTATTCAATAAGACTTATTGTATACCATTACACTGGCACTGTGATAAGGTCTGTCTTGATTGTTGTAATTAAAAATGCAATTTTGAAAAATTAATCATGTTTTTCCTCCATTCAAATCAGATTGTTGACTGCCAGGATGGATCCGACGAAGGAGAAACATGCTGTAAGTATGCAAAATTGATTGATTGATTACTAGTTTGGGAAAATTTTCTAAATTTATTTAATTAATTTTTGTTCTTTCAAATAGCCTATAGACCTTGTCAGCCAGATGATCATGTATGCCAAAATAATGGTAGCGCAATATGCATTCCAGCATTGAAAAAATGTGATGGTAATGGGCAAATTTGTTTTTCTTGATTCATTCCGATTGAATTAATGAGTTTTATTCAACAAACGTCGTAGGTTATAATGATTGTCGAGATGAATCGGATGAAAAGGATTGTGGCCATAGTAAGTGTTGAGAGAATGTTGATTGTTGTGGATTGTTCTAAATAATTGCCCAATTAGATGGAACTGCATGCCAATTGAATGAATTTCGTTGTGCGAACGGTAAGAAATGTATTGAAGAAACAAAACGTTGTGATCATTGGAGTGATTGTGGCGATGGCGACCAATCGGATGAAGAGAATTGTGATTTCCCACCATGTGCCTCCGATCAATTTCGTTGTACGAACGCTATCTGTATACCGGCCAAATGGCGTTGTGACGGTCATTCCGATTGTAATGATGCTAATGATGAAGCTAATTGCAGTAAGTCATTTTCAACCAAACAAAACTTGTTATCCTAACGGGGAATCCTTTTTTGAAAATCATTAAAATAGCCGTGGTATCGTGTACGGACAATAAATTTCTATGTCCAATCGAAAAGAAATGCATTAATCGTGAAAAATTGTGCGATGGAATTTCCGATTGTACGGATGGTGCCGATGAAAAAGAAGCCTGCTGTATGTTGTGAATGTCTATTTATGTCTAATTAACCAATTTGATTGAATTTTGTTGAATAGCCAAGAAAAATTGTGATTCGTTAATGTGTGAATATAAATGTAAGGCATCATTGAATGGCGGTATTTGTTATTGTCAACCAGGCATGACAATCAATCCAAAAGATCAGAAAACTTGCATCGATTTTGATGAATGTCGCGAATGGGAATATTGCGATCAATTTTGCACAAATACACTCGGTAGCTATCAATGTCATTGTGGTTCCGGCTATCTGCTCGAACAAAATCATCATTGTAAAGCTGAAAATAGTAATTATCTTTTCGAATTAGCAAAACAAACAAATTTCTAAATTATTCTCTTTTCCCTCTCTTTCTCCCTCTGTTGTATTGATGGTTAATGATCATTATCTGTATAACTAGGCTCGGAAATGCAAATAATGTTTGTACATCATAGCTCAATATATCGAATGGATAGTTCGGGCAATTCATTAGAATTGATAACAAATGCAACGGCCGCAAGCGGTTTGGACTATCATTTTGCTAAAAATATACTTTTCTGGTCGGATGTTGAAACACGGAAAGTAAGTTTGATTTAATTGAAGCAAACAATGAATGAATGAACGAATGAATGATGAACAACAAAACAAATTAGGATTTGATCTAGATTTAATCATTTTGTTTTTGATTCATCCATTCTCCCTCTCCCTCTCCTCCTCCAATAGATATACAGTATTAATCTGGATCCTGATCGACCGACGAAATTTACGAAAGAAATAAGCGTCTATTATGCATGGACACCGATATCGATTGCAATCGATTGGATTGCAAATAAAATCTATATTTGCGACACACACAATCAGAAAATCGACATCATGGAAATTGATGGCAGTCATCATAGCATTGTGATCAGTCAAAATCTAACAGCACCACTCGACATTGCATTGGATCCTAGCCGTGGGCTTATGTTTTTCACTGACAATGATAACATCGACCGAGCTCTAATGGATGGCACACAACGAACGACAATCGTATCGAATTATATCTATAAGGCAACCGGCATTGCATTGGATTATGTTACACAACGTATATTTTGGTGTGATTCACAATTAGATCAGATTGTAGTCGTCAATTATGACGGACAACAGCGACATACTATCATACGCGGCAGTACCAAAGTGCCATCACCAGTACGGATGACTGTATTCGAAAATTATGCCTATTGGACGGATAGCACCCGACAAGGTGTTTTGCGTCTAAATCTCTATAATAATACCGATATTGAAATTTTATATCGCGAACGAAAAATTATCAAAGAACCAAGAAGTATACGCACTGTACACTCATTACGACAGCCAATTGTATTCAATCCATGCAGCGGTAATAATGGCGGTTGTCAACATATGTGTGTGCTAACCCGTAATGGTGATCAAAATTCATTCGCACTTGGTTATCGGTGTGCCTGCGATATTGGCTATCAACTTACCGATGATTTGAGAAAATGTACAAAAATCGAAGAATTTCTAATGTATTCTCAGCAAAAATTTGTACGTGGCATTCTTTTGGAGCCTAAATTGAGTGGATTTACCGATGCTATTGTTCCGGTTGTTAGTCGATCGGCAAGATTTGTTGGCCTTGATTTTAATGCTCGCACTAATCATATTTTCTATTCGGATGTCATACTGGATGTTATCTACAAAATCAAAGTTGATGGTACCGGCAAAGAAAATGTTCTGGCATCGCAAAATGAGGGCGTTGAAGGATTAGCACATGATTGGATATCGAATAACCTTTACTATATCGACAGTCGTAAAGGAACATTGAATGTAATCAGCATCAATAATTCAACTAATCGTCGTGTATTGCTGAAAAACCTGAAACGTCCACGGGCTATTGTTGTTCATCCAAATCGTGGTTACATTTTCTATTCGGAGTGGGATCGTCCAGCCAACATTAGCCGTGCCTATTTAGATGGGACCAATGTGATGATATTTCGTGGTGTTTTACTTGGCTGGCCAAATGGCCTGAGTATTGACTATGATAATGATCGATTATATTGGTGCGATGCATTATTAGATCATATTCAGCATGCTAACCTAGATGGTACCGATGTTAAGACCATCAATTCACCACGAATTAAACACCCATTTTCGTTGGTCATACATCGGGATTGGCTTTATGTTACCGATTGGCGTTTGGATGCCATTCTCCGTATGAACAAAGTTAACGGTAGTGATGAAAAAATTATCAACACCGTTGAAGAAGGCAGCCGTTTGTATGGCATCCGTGTGTTCAGTCGAGATGCGCAGAAAATCGAAAACCTTCATCCCTGTCTTTATGATAATGGAAATTGTGAGAAATTTTGTTTCGCTATACCGAGTAATGATAATACAACCAATGACAAACTTGTTGTACGCTGTGGATGTCCATACGGCGAAAAATTATCCAATGATCAACGTACCTGTGTGTCGGATCCAGTAAAAGAACCACCACTGCAAGCATGTCCGAATTCATGGGATTTTACCTGTGATAACCAGCGATGTATACCGAAATCATGGGTATGCGATGGTGACAATGACTGTCTGGACGGGTCGGATGAGAAACAAAATTGCACGCAGCCATGTACTAATCGTGATTTTAAATGTGCCAGTGGACGATGTATACCGATGGGATTCAAATGTGACAAGGATAATGATTGTGGAGATTTTTCCGATGAAGCAGGCTGTGCCAATATAACATGCAGCGCAAATGAATTCACATGTGACAATGGTCGTTGCATATCCATGTCATGGAAATGTGATAGCGAAAACGATTGTGGCGATGGTTCGGATGAAGGCGATTCCTGTAAAGATAAGACCTGTTCATATTTTCAATTTACATGTCCGGGAAGTGGCCACTGTATCCCACAAAGTTGGGTATGTGATGGCGATAACGACTGTATTGATCAGGCGGATGAGAAAAATTGTCCGCCCATTGTTTGTTCGAAAAATCAATTTCAATGTGCCGATATGAAACAGTGTCTGCATGAAAGTTATCATTGTGATGGCATGAACGATTGCCAGGATGGGTCCGATGAAAAAGAATGTCCTCAAACATCATCGAATCATTGTGATCAGGAAAAACAATTTCAATGCAAAACATCACGCATTTGCATACCGAAATCGTGGTATTGTGATGGCAATCCCGATTGCGAAGATCATAGCGATGAACCATCAACGTGTGGCCAAATAGAATGTCCAAATAATCATTTCAAATGTGATAATTCTCGTTGTGTGTTTAAATCATGGATTTGCGATGGTCGGGATGATTGTGGTGATAATTCGGATGAAGATAAACGTCATGCTTGTGGTGCTGCCAAATATGATTGTCCGAGTGGTGAGTGGGCATGTCCAAATGTGACTGACCGTTGTATTGGCATCGATAAAATCTGTAACGATCATTCGGATTGTCCGAACGGTGCCGATGAAGGTCCTGGATGTGGTTTGGTTAGTTGTCAACAGCAAAATTGTCTCTATAAATGTAAGGAAACACCCGTTGGTCCATTATGTTTATGTCCACCGGGTGAACGTTTGAATGATACGCGAACATGTGTCGATATTGATGAATGTCAACAAATTGGCACCTGCAGTCATAAATGTTTCAATGAAAAGGCTAACGTTGCCGGTAGTGTGGGATTCAAATGTGAATGTGAACAAGGATATCAACTAGAAAATCGAACCTATTGTAAAGCATTGAATCGAACATTAGCCTATATGGTCATTTCGAATCGTCGATCAATATTGATTGCCAATATAACCAATGTATCATTGGAACGGATTCCGGTTCGTGTGGAAAACGTTGTAGCGACGGCGTCGGAAATGTCAACAGGAATAATCTATTGGTATGATATGCACGCCAAGAAAATATATCGCGTTAAAAAAGGTTCCAGTGAACCGGAGATAATAATCGATAGTGGTCTGGATTTGGTCGAAGGTTTAGCTATCGATTGGATTGCTAAAAATCTGTATTGGGTGGATTCACGTTTGAAAACAATCGAGGTATCAACTATAGATGGCAAAAATCATATTGTTCTGTTGAGCCAGAATATAAGTCAACCTCGTGGTATTTGTTTGGATCCACGTGAAGATGCAAGAATACTGTTCTGGAGTGATTGGGGTGAAAATCCACGCATAGAACGTATGGGTATTGATGGCAGTGAACGTAAAGTTATTGTTAATACAAAAATCTATTGGCCCAATGGTCTTACGATCGACATTCCAACCAAACGTATCTATTTTGCCGATTCCAAACTAGATTATATTGATTTCTGTAATTATGATGGTACAGGTCGGCAACAAGTACTTGCGCATAATCATTATCTACTGCATCCACATTCATTGACTATATTCGAAGATACACTGTATTGGACAGATCGTCAATTGAATCGTGTACTGTCTTGTCATAAGTTTCGAGGTTCAAATCAAACGGTTGTCTCTCATCTAGTCAGTCAACCATTAGGTATACATATCAATCACCCATTATTACAACCGGATTCGGTGAATCCATGTGCCAAAGCTCCTTGCAGTCATCTTTGTTTATTATCGCCAAAACCACAAGGATATACGTGTAAATGTCCACCTGGTTATGGACAGGATCGATCTTCGTCGGGTGGCCGTTGTATACCGATCGAAACACCATATTTAATGGTAATGAAAACAACACAGATTGTTGATCTAAGTCTGACACCGAATGAAAAATCTGTTGGATTTTTCACACCCATCATTGGCATCGAGAATGGTTACGATTTTGATTATGACAAACAACAAGGTTTCACCTATTACATTCAATTACGTGAGGATGATAAAGAAAATGGAACACTCTACAAAGTCAGTTTGTTGGGTGGAAATCAGACCAAATTTCTGGCCGATGGTATTGTTGGTGCACCATATTGTTTAGCGTTCGATTGGCTGGGTCGAAATCTCTATGTCGGCAATAAAAAAGCATCAAACATTTTGGTAGTGAAAACGGATGGTGATAAAAATTATCGCCGTATCATTCTCAGCAATGATGGAACCGAAAAAGGTGTTGCCAAACCAAAAGCCATCGTATTGGATCCATTACAAGGCAAATTATATTGGCTGGATGAAGGTGGCGTTGGTGTGCCGCAAAAATTAGCCAAAGCCAATATGGACGGAACAAATCCACAGATTTTGATCAAAGATTCTCTGCATCAAATCGAAGCGCTGACGTTTGATTTCAACAATCGTCGTATCTATTTCAGTCAAAGCTATGTTGGCGTTATAGAAAGTGTGGATGAAGATGGAAAAGATCGTAAAACAATAATAACTACTTCATCGGGCATTGCCAAACCACAGGGTTTAGCCATCTATAATAATCGATTATATTATTTGGATTCGGTCTATGAAAAAATTGTTCGTGTCAATCTGCCGGATGGCAGTAATGCCGTGACGATTGAAGAAAATTCGCCAAATCTGTCCAATCTGAAAATCTATAGCAAACGAATGGGCATCGAAAATCACCCCTGTCGTAATTCGAATGGAAATTGTCAGCATTTATGTATACCGGATGAAAACAACCGCCATAAGTGTTTATGCAGTACGGGTTTTCGTACCGATGGCCAAACCAATTGTCAACCATATAAATCATTTGCTGTCGTATCGTTGTTGACAAAAATGCAAGGATTCAGTTTGGAGGATCATGCTGAAGCCATTCAACCGATTGCAGGTGCTGGCCACAATATTCTTCATATTGATGTGCATGTTGTGAAGAATCATATCTATTGGGTGGAATATAACCCGGGTGAACGTAATGGTATTTATCGTATCAAACCGGATGGAACGGAAAAAAGCCATATCATCAGCGAAGGTATCGGCAGTAATGGTATTCGTGGCATAGCTATCGATTGGATTGCCGGCAATCTTTATTTCACGAATGTATTTCCACATGAAACCTATATTGAAGTGAGCCATTTGGATGGCAAAAATCGAATGGTATTGATCAAAACGACTACCGATGCACCGCGAGAAATTGCCGTCAATCCGATCAAACGATATCTGTATTGGATTGATTATGGACAATTTCCCAAAATTGAGAAGGCATTATTGAATGGACAAAATCGTACACCGATTGTTGTCACCGGTATAAGTAATCCACGTGATTTAACCATCGACATTGTCACACACGATCTGTATTGGGTGGATGCACGTGAGGATGCTATACAAAAAGTATCGTTTTCTGGTGGACGACGACAATATGTATGGAAAAATCTGCCAACACCATACGGTGCTTCAATACTTGGTTCACAAATCTATTGGGTTGATCGTAATCTTCGTACGATATTTCGCGGAAGTAAAGTTCCGGAAGTGGCACAAAGTCAAACACCCGAGCCATTCAAATCCAACCTAGATACATTGCGTGATATTGTTATATTCGATGCACAGAATCAACCACCGGGTGATTCGGTTTGTTCACGTTTTAATGAACGAATTTGTGATCAACTTTGTTTCGCAATGCCACAAGGTTATGAACAAGATTATAAATGTGCCTGTTCATCCGGCGTATTGGATGTCGATCAAAAACGATGTAAACAATTGGACGAATATCTTATTTTCACAACGCGCAAGGAAATTCGCACAATCAACCTGAATGAAGCTATTTCCAGTCCACCGATTGTGCCCAAAACCAATCTAACCAATGTTGTGGGCCTTGATTTTGATTATGCAAACAAAAAAATCTTTTTCACCCAAATCAGTCCCGACGGAACAATATCATCATATCGAATCGATCGAAAAGATGATCCGCATAACATAATTCTATCGAAAGGTATCATTCCGGAAGGTATTGCCTATGACTGGACCAATAAAAAAATCTACTGGACTGATTCGAGAAATCGTTCGATTTATTCGATGAATGAAGATGGATCCCAGATCGTGATGATTGTTCGTGTTGAACGACCAAGAGCCATTGTTATTGATCCTTGCGAAGGTTTCCTTTATTACACTGACTGGGGTCGATTCGGAAATAACGGGAAAATTTATCGAACAACAATGGCAGGAAATTTCAAACGAACAATCATCGATGATGATCTTACTCAGCCAAGTGGTTTGGCTATCGATTATGCCGAACGAAAGCTTTATTGGACGGATGCTTTACGAGAGAAAATCGAACGTTCCAATCTGAATGGAACTGATCGTGAAATTCTAATCTCAGCCACCATCTATCCATTTGCCATAACTTTGTTCAGAAATTATATCTACTGGACTGATCTACAACTGCGCGGTGTTTATCGTGCCGATAAATATACTGGTTCGGGAATGATCGAAATGGTGAAACGTTTAGAAGAATCACCACGGGACATTCATGTGTTTTCATCACAACGACAACTTTGCGATAAAAATCCTTGCCAAATCAATAATGGTGGATGTGCACATTCATGTCATCAGGCACCAAACAGCACGGTGGAATGTCGTTGTAATTCGGGATTCAAGTTGGCAAATGAAAATCGAATGTGTGTGTCCGATACGGTTGAATGCGATGAATCAAAATTTTCATGCGGAAATGGAAAATGCATACCCAGATTGTGGGCATGTGATGGTGATGATGATTGTGGCGATAATAGTGATGAAGATTCAATGTTTTGTGCTGTGCATACGTGTGGTCCGAATGAATTCCGTTGTGGTAATGGACGTTGTATATTCAAAACATGGAAATGTGATCATGAAAATGACTGTGGGGATAATTCGGATGAGGAAGACTGTGAATATCCGCCGTGTGCTGATGGCGAATTCACCTGTTCGAATCATAAATGCATACCGAAAGCACAATTATGCAATGGAGTTAATGATTGCAAAGATTCCAATACAACCGATGAAAACCATATAAATTGTCCCAATAACAAAACTTGCATGGCAAACCATTTGAAATGTGAAAATACCAACATCTGTGTAGAACCATATTGGCTATGCGACGGGGATAATGATTGTGGTGATAATTCGGATGAAAGTTCCTTGATTTGTTCACAGCGTACATGTCCACCGAATAGTTTTCGCTGTCCGAAAAATCACCGTTGCATACCGGCCACTTGGTATTGCGATGGTGATGATGATTGTGGCGATAAATCGGATGAACCGGAGGATTATTGCAAAAGTGACAAACGAACATGTTTTGGTGATTTGTTTACCTGTAACAATGGAAATTGCATCCCCCGAATATATATTTGTGATGGCGATAATGATTGTCTGGATGGATCGGATGAAGATGAACGACATCAATGCGATACCAGACAATGTGATCCGGAACGGGAATTTACCTGCACTGCCAATAAAAATTGGGGTCGAACACAGTGTATACCGAAACGATGGATTTGCGATGGCGATCCGGATTGTGTGGATGGGGCCGATGAAAACACAACATTACATAATTGTCCACCGCCTGAAGCATGTGATGCCGATCAATTTCGATGCAATAATAATCGTTGTATCAGTAAAGAATGGGTTTGCGGTATGTTTTGTTTGTATGAATGTTGATTGAATTGTTGTTGTTGTTGTTGTCATTTCATCATTTCATCCTTTTATCCAATACAGATCACGATAATGATTGTGGTGATGGTTCGGATGAACATCGTAATTGCACGTTCCGTGAATGTCATGATGACGAATTTTCATGTCGTAATACGAAATGCATACGCAAAACATATCTATGTGATGGTGAAGATGATTGTGGCGATGGTTCGGATGAAAATCTATCGCAATGTAAACAACAACAAACCAAATCCTGTCCGAATGGTCAATATCGTTGCAAGAATGGACAATGTATTGCAATGGAACGTGTTTGCAATAAACATCTTGATTGTGATGATGGTTCGGATGAATCGCCGCATTGTAATGTGGATGAATGTGCCAAAATTGATGTTAATCGCTGTGAACATAAATGTATCGATGATCCTATTGGATTCCATTGCCAATGCAATGATGGCTATAAACTGATGAAAGATGGAAAAGCCTGCCAAGATATTGATGAATGTTCGGCAATCAAACAAACATGTAGCCAATATTGTTTCAACACACCGGGATCGTTTAGTTGCAAATGTAACGATATCTATTATGAACGGGAACCAGATGGCCATACCTGCAAACGACGTGATTCGGATGTAGAACCATGGCTGATATTCAGTAATCGTTACTACATTCGTAATTCAAGTATCGATGGTTCATTATACAATCTAATCAAAATGGATCTCAAAAACGTTGTGGCCTTAGATTTCGATTATCGCGAACAACGTCTTTATTACGCTGATGTTGGCAATAAAACAATCAATCGTATTTTTATCAATGGAACTGGCGAACAAAATATCATTCGCCATGAAGCACATGGTCTGGAGGGTATGGCGGTCGATTGGGTTGGAAGAAAACTATACTGGATGGATCGTACAAGTAAACACATTGAAGTGAGCGAATTGGATGGAACCAGGCGAAAAACATTGCTTTCACGTGGAATATCCGATCCGCGTGCTATTGCAGTACATCCCAAAATAGGCTATCTATTTTTGACCGATTGGGGTCATCATTCCTGTATCGGTAAAATGGGCATGGATGGACAGAATTTTTCCAGAATAATTACCTATGAAAAGAAATTGGTATGGCCAAACGCATTGACAATCGATTATTTCAGCGATAAAATTTTCTGGGCCGATGCTCATCTCGATTATATTGAGTATGCTGATTTCGAAGGAAGAAATCGACATACTGTCCTCAGCGGTAACTCTGTTCCGCATGTATTCGCTTTGTCCGTATTTGATGACTGGCTTTTCTGGACCGATTGGAATACAAAAGGTCTGGCACGGGCACATAAATTTACCGGAGAAAATTACCAAGTGCTTCGCAACACATCACATCGACCATATGATATTCATGTGTATCACCCATTGCGACAAGTTCCATATGATAATCCATGTGGTGATAAAAATGGTGGCTGTTCGCATCTTTGTCTTATCGCACCGGGAGGACAATCATTCAGCTGTGCTTGTCCAAATAATTTTGTTCTACTTCGTGACAATAAAACCTGCATAGCCAATTGCACACGGGGTCAACATCGATGCGCTTCGAATGATGATCGTTGTATACCGATATTCTGGAAATGTGATGGTGATAAAGACTGTCATGATGGTTCGGATGAATTGAATTGTCCACCGTTTCAATGTAAACCGGGAATGTATCAATGCAGAAATAACCAAACCTGTTTATCACGCATTCGAATCTGTGATGGTGTTCAAGATTGTAGCGATGGTTCGGATGAAAGTTTCTGTGATTCGGATTGTGGTGAACATAGTTTCAAATGTCAATCAACAGGTCGTTGTGTACCGAATTCTTGGCAATGTGATGGTATGTTTTTAAACCTCCTTTTGTTTGATTCCTTGCTAATTGTTACCGATTTAGGAGATAATGATTGTTCGGATGGTTCGGACGAAGATCCAGCTGTATGTCACCATCGTGATTGTGACAAAGATACCCAATACAAATGTAATAATGGAAAATGTATACCGAAGTTATGGTATTGTGATTTTGATGATGATTGTGGCGATAGTTCGGATGAGCCGGCCCACTTATGTCGAAATAGAAATTGCAGTACAGGATGGCGAAAGTGTCCATCACGACATAACTACCGTTGTATTCCAAGTTGGTTGTTCTGTGATGGCAAAGATGATTGTCGTGATAATTCGGATGAAACGAATCCAGAACTATGCCCCATATGTCATGTGACGGGAGATTTTAAATGTAAAAATGACCGCTGCATTCCATTACGTTGGCGATGTGGTATGTTTAGTATTTTGTTAGTGATTTGATTGATTGTAAATTGATTGGAAATTATAGATTTTGAAGATGATTGTGGCGATAATTCGGACGAGAATCCAACAATGTGTGCCGAATTATATCGTGAATGTTCGGAAAGTGAATTTCAATGTAATAACAAAAAATGCATACCATCCAGATGGCGATGCGATCACGATGAGGATTGTGATGATGGATCGGATGAAATGGATTGTATGGAACATGTTTGCAAGCCAGATCAATTCAAGTGCAAAAGTGGTCATTGTATACCGCACAAATTGGTCTGTGATGGCAATAAAGATTGCAAAGATGTATCCGATGAACTGAATTGTCCAGCCCGATTCGCGAATGGCAAGTATTGTCAGGAAACACTGTTTGAATGTAACAATACGGTATGTCTTCGTAATGATTTCCTGTGCGATGGTGATGATGATTGTGGCGATAATTCGGATGAACAAGACTCACTATGTCAGAATTATGAATGTGATCCATTACGAAAATTCCAATGCAAAAACAAAAAATGTATACCATTATGGCAGATTTGCAATGGTCATGATGAATGTGGTGATGGAAGTGATGAAAACAACCATACATTATGCCGACGTTGGCCAACAACCTGTGCATCGAATCAATTCAAATGTGTCAATGACAAATGCATTGAGCTGTCAAAAGTATGTGATCATTTCGATGACTGTGGCGATTTATCCGATGAAAAAGGCTGCCATCAAGGTGTTTGTAATCGTGAAACCAAAGGCGGTTGTCAGCATAATTGTTCGTTAATCGGTGAAGGCTCGTACATTTGTATTTGTCCAAGGTAGGTGAAAATATTAGTTATGGAATTGAACAAGGTGATTAATGAGCTATTTGAACAGGGGCTACAAAACAAACGAAACGAATCCAAAATCATGTGAAGATATTAATGAATGTGCCACATTTGGCCATAATTGTTCGCAGAATTGTATCAACCTTGAAGGAACATATGCTTGCAGTTGTCGATCGGGATTCGATTTCGTTGAAGATCGTTGTGTGGCGCAAGGTGCAGCACCAGTAATACTTTATACAGATGGAACCGAAATCCGTTCAATCGATTATAATGAACAATTACAATCCATGGTTGTTTCGGGTGAATCCCGGATACAATCATTGGATTATGATCCAGTCGATAAGATTATCTATTGGATCGATTCATATGATTCATCAATCAAACGAGCAATCATTCCCGAACTACAGGATCCCAATCATGGCATGGCATTCACACAGGATATGAACCTGAAAAGTCAAAATAAACTGATCGATATCGATGTGGATTGGGTGGCCAGGTAACATTTATTGATTTGTTCATCATTTTTGCCAATATTATTAATTGTTAATTATTAATTGCTTTTGTTTGTTAAGAAATCTGTATTGGACAGAGATGGATATATCGGTATCGAAACCTCGAGGACGTATTGTAGCAAGTTTACTGGATGGTCGATATAAACGATCGTTGATAACGACAAATCTGGAACGTCCAACATCCATTGCATTGGATCCTGAATTAGGGTAAGTGTAACATGTGGTTGAAAAGTGAAATTAATCAGTGATTATTTCGAAATCTTAGAATAATGTTCTGGACGGATGCAGGAACTGTGCCCAAAATAGAAACCAGTTGGATGGATGGTTCTGAACGTAAAGCAATCGTCAAGGACAAATTGGGTGTTCCGGCTAGCATTGTTATCGATTTTCAGGCAGATCATCGATTATATTGGTGTGATAGTAAACTCAATTCAATCGAATCATCCAATAAGGATGGTTCGGATCGTGTGGTCATCATGCACAGTGAAGCACATCATCCGATTAGCTTGGAAACATTCGAAGATCAAATCTATTGGACAACTAAAGACACCAATGAAATTTATCGACAGGATAAATTTGGCCGCGGTGTCAAGGTTCGAGTGAAAAGAGCATCGGCTCTGACAACCGATTTGAAGATATTTCATCGTCAAAAATATAACACTTCTTGTGAGTAGATTTTTGTTTTGTAAAAAAGCTTTAATCCAGAATGATGTTTCATCTGTCAGTGCCCAATCCATGTCAACTGAATCATGTGAATCCCTGTAGCCATCAATGTTTGCTGATACCACGTGGATATCGATGTTCGTGTCCGGACGGATTGCAGCATTCAAATTATGGATCGATTGCCAAATGCAATTCGGCATTCGAACATCCATTGGCAATGCCATATAAATGTGAATGCAAAAATGGCGGAGCCTGTATGTTTACGACCGATGAGAAAATAGTTTGCAAATGTCCCGATAATTTTGATGGACAATTTTGTGAAGATTCGGTGGCCAAAACAAAACTGAATTCGCGGTGGATAATGCGAACAACGCCATCATTGTTGTTGTTGTTGTTGGCATTGATATTGGCCAGTCTTGTAGTTGTAATCATATATTTTCAGAAGAAAAACCTGTAAGTTTCACTCTTTTTTTTTGATGAAATTATCACTGTTTTTTCATGTGGAAAAATATAGCAAAACGAATTTCGGGACAAATCCGAGCGTTCAATTTCGTAGCGGTACTAATGTGGAATTTATTGGCCAAGATTTTCGCCAAACATCTGGTGAAGCGAATAATCAGGATGTATGTGTTTTGTTGTTGTTGTTGATTTTCCTAACAATTTTTGTGTTGGTTTCAGGGAGCATCTGAGAATGATATCAACCTAGATGACATTAAAACGACCGATTTTTCCAATCCAATGTATGATGCATTCGGTGGTGTTGGTGGTGCGGGTGCCAACGAATCTGATGTTGCACTGAGTAAAAAGAAAAACAACCTCGATAACAACGGTACAACTAATCTTCTGCACGATCAAGAAATGTTTGCCGCAACAATCGATGTGGACAATACAACGACATCATCATTACAACAGCAATCTGGACATCCGTTGGACAATCGTTTTGGTTCGGCAATATTATCCCCTTCAAGCATAATACACAAATCATCAGTATCACCGCAAATACGACAGACAGCATTAAAACCAACAACAATCGATTCGGATAAAGACACCATTCAATTGGTGGAGGAAGACCGAACCGATTGATCATTTTCAAGAAAACAAACAAAATCTCTCAATTGTGATAGTATTTAATTGAAACAAACAGACTATTTTCATAAAACAAACAAAAGTTTGAAAAACATTATTTTTGCCTTGAATAGCATGTTGTATTTATATAACTGATTATAAATTATACAATCATTACCATTATCACTATCATTTCAATTATCAATTATAATGGAACAAATATCTCTCTTCTCTAAATATACTTGTATAAATAACTTGATTGATAATTTTGTTGACAATTTGTTTGCAATGTTTTTTACCTTTTTTAAATTTTTCAAATTACAACAATGATGAGAGGCATGAGTTAATAAAGTTCATTCAACACACAGTTATTATAACCAATTGTTTTCGAAAAAGATTCGATTTAACAAGTTCGGAAACGGTTTTCGAAATTCAAATCAAATCAGAATTCACAACAGAACAAATGAAAATATTCATAACGAATCCAAGTTGTTTTTCGTTTGGTTGTTATCACGGAGAACTGAGATTGAGAAATGTCATTTCAACCAAACAGGACATTGCTATATGGCATTCTAATCATATGGATGATTCGAATTGAAACAGTGCAAATGACAACCAATTCATCACAACGAGATGTAAGTATTGTTTCCTCAAGCAGAAATCATTCACTTTTCACCTTTATCATTTGTCACAAAACAAAGGAAATCTGCGAAAGTTTACGGCAAACTGATGGTGGCAAATTGAAAATATTGGCCGTGGGCAAAACATCAAGGCGTCTGCTTTTGATAACGGTCGATTTTCATGTTTATGATGTTGCACTGGATTCAATGAATTCGGCCTTGGATAAATTGTATCTTGGTAGTAAACCGAGGCCATTGGACGAAAAATATCCAAAACTTTCCAATAACAATAGTTTTAAAGATATCAAGAATATTATATTCAATGCATTCATAATGAGTGATGCGGATGCTGATTGGATTTGCATCACTACTAAAAGTAGTTCTGGACGACCCGGAGTCAATTATGATATCGATAATTCCGAAGTAGTGACGGGATGGGTATATGCAGGCGAGAATCCCCAAGTATTGATATCAACAAGTTTACCATGTCAATATTATTCATTAGAATCATATGGAAGCCTAGTAATTAATCGTTATGAATGTTTAACAAGTCACCATGTACGGGATCATCCAGAAATAATGCCCAAATACGATAATCTAGCAATATGTTATGGTCAAAACGAAACCACCATTACCATGGAAAGGATTCCACACCAACCCCATAGGAGAGACGATGGCGGAATACATTGTCGTTCAGGAAATGCGGTAAACTGGCCAGTGTTGAAAGGTTTTGTGACTGGTGGAAAATTTTATTTGTTCGGTGAGCAAAATATCTATGTGTTTGAGGAAAAAGTTTTCCTGGAACAAGGACAACCGTATGCTGTCACTAAACGCAGTTATGACTCTTTTTTCAATTGTCCCGGTGTTATTCCGCCAGGTTCTTTTTCCAAATCCTGTAAGTTGTATGATTAGTTTTGTTGAACACAATTGATGTATGTTGGTTTGTTGCAGATTTTTATTGGATTATTGCTGCAATCATATTGTTATTGTTGATATTGTCGATAATATTGTGGTGTATATTGGTGAATCACCGTCGTGGTCAACGAATCAAATCATCATTGGCACATGGCAAAACTGGACGTTCCGCAATCATTGGACGTTCCGCAATCAATGGTCCAATGAGTTTATCAAAAATGTCGACAAATATTGGCACTACAAGAAGTGGTAAAAGTACGGTACAGGTCCAGAAAATTAATCGTTTCAGTTCGAAAATTATCAGTCATGCATCATCGGTGGGATCAACGAATGTAACCGCACGCACTGGCATAAATAGCAGCAGTCCTAATCAATTGAAACGCTTATCAACCCGAATACAAAGCGGCAGTCGCCGAAAATCTAAATTGCAAAGTTCACGCTTGCATTAACCAATTAAATAAATAAATAAATAAATTATACACATTTTTTCTTGATGCAAAATTTTATATAGCAATGAGAAAGAGAATTGAAAGTTCTGTTTCGAATTGAATTATACTTGAAACTAATTGAACAACAATACCAGTGAAAACATTGGTAATATACGATTGGACCCATGATTCGAATCATGTCCGTTTGAAGTTTAATCGAGAATGTTATTGCCAAATTGGTCATTGTTCATTGTGATGATTATCATATCAATGATGACAATCAAAATTCGAATGGATGATCAAATCACAACTCATCAAATGACGACTGATCAAATGACGACGGCTGCAGCGCAGCAAACAGATGTAAGTAGTGTTTTTGTTGGCAGAGAAAACGAATGAATTTTCATGTTGATATTGTGTTAACAAAAGGAAATTTGTGAAAGTTTAAAGAAAAAAAATGGCACCAAATTGAATATACTGGTAGTTGGAAGAACATCAGAACGATTATTGTTAATAACTGGTGATTTCTATGTTTATGATGTAGCAATGGATTCCATGGATTCGGCCATTGCTAAATTATATCTGCGCAGCAAACCAAAACCATTGAAGGATAAATACCCCGGTCTTTACGGTAGTCCTTACTTTAACAGTGTCAAAGATTATATATTCAATGCATGGATCATGAAAGACGAGGAAGGCGATTGGATTTGTATTACCACCAGAGCCAGAAATCATAGAGATGGTGTTAGTTATCTTATCAACAACGATGAAGCAGTCAAGGGATGGATTTATTATGACCAAGCAACAGAAGTATTGATCTCGCAAAACCAACAGTGCCGATATTATTCATTACGACATGATCGTCACAATAATCTTATAATTGGTCTTTACCAATGTGATCAAGGAAATAGCCGTGTACGTCATCGTCCACATATTGGACTGGTTACCAATGACTTTGCCGCAATCTGTTTGGATGAAACCAATACAAAGATTACCATGCAAATGGGCGCTTGTCGTCCGGGAATGGCAGTACAGTGGCCAGTGTTGAAAGGTTTTGTGAGCGCAGGAAAATTTTATTTATTCGGAGAATATTATATCTACATTTTCGATGAAAGTGTTTATCTTCAACAAGGACAACCCTTTCCAATTGAAAAACATAGTTATGATTCATTTTTCAATTGTCCCGGGATTATTCCGCCAAGTTCTCTTTCCAAATCCTGTAAGTTGTATGATTAGTTTTGTTTTACAATTGTTGTATGTTGGTTTGTTACAGATTTTTATTGGATTATTGCTGCAATCATATTGTTATTGTTGATATTGTTGATGATACTATGGTTTATATTGGTCAATCGTCGTCGTCGTCTACGAATCAAATCATCATCATTGGCACAAGGCAAAACGGGCCGGTCCGATTTATATGGACGAAGCTTGAGCAAATTGAATGCATCGAAAATGTCGACTAATATGATGGTGACCGCCAGAAGTAGAAGTATGACTTCAAGAATGAATCTATCCAGTCTGAAGCATACCACCACCCATGGGGGGTCCCACGCAGCATTTTCCGGTGGATCAGTTAATGTAACCGGCCGTACTGGTATTGAGGCAGATTTCAATCCAGCCAGTCCCAATCGATTGAAACGCTTAACAACACGAATACAAAGCGGCAGTCGCGGTGTTGGTGGATCGACAATGAAAATGTAAATCCAAATTTGTAAAGCATACTTGGTGATTGCACCCTGATGACCATGTGATGATGATGAATTATTTAATATTAATAAAATCTTGACATTTGATTCATTTGATTCATATTTGTGTTTGTTTGATTCGAACAAAATAAAATTGCAATTCTAATTAATCAACAGATTGCAACTTTCCACTAATTGACGACAATACCAATGAAAACATTTAAAATGTATGATGGCATCGAATGTTGAGAGGGAGGCAAATTGCGTTTTTTCTTTCAAATTTGAATTGAAAATGTTGTTGATGAAATTGGCATTTATTATCAACATTATACTCAGGATTGCCATTGAAACAACCGAAACACAAAAAGATGTGAGTATTGTTTGTTTGTTTGCAGCAAAAATCAATAACCTTTCAAAAAACAAAGGAAATCTGTGAAAATCTGAAGAAAAAGGGTACCAAATTCAATATATTGGCAGTTGGAAGAACATCCAAACAACTAATATTACTAACGGCCGATTTCTTTGTATATGATGTACCGATTGATTCAATCGATACTAGCATCGATAAATTATATCTGCGCACCAAACCAAAACCATTGAAGGATAAATATCCCGGTTTTTACAACAGTCCCTACTTTCAAAATGTCAAGCATTATATATTCAATGCATGGATCATGAAAGACGAGGAAGGCGACTGGATTTGTATTACCACTAGAGCCAGAAATCATATGGATGGCGTTAGTTATCTTATCAACAACGATGAAGCAGTGCAGGGATGGATTTATTATGACCAAGCAACAGAAGTATTAATCTCGCAAAACCAACAGTGCAGATATTATTCATTACGACATTATGGCGGCAATAATCTTATAATTGGTCTTTATCAATGTGATCAAGGAAGAAGCCGTGTACGTTATCGTCCACATATTGGACTGGTTTATAGAAATTTTTCGGTCATATGTTATGATGAAACGAAAACCAAAATTACGATAGAAATGATGAAACCGCATGAACCGGCCCAATGTCGTTCGGGAATGGCAGTACAGTGGCCAGTGTTGAAAGGTTTTGTGAGTGAAGGAAAATTTTATTTATTCGGAGAAGCATATATCTATATATTCGATGAAAGTGTTTATCTTCGACAAGGACAACAAGTTGCAGTGAGGAAACATAGTTATGATTCATTTTTCAGTTGTGCCGGTTTTGTTCCAGCCAGTCAAGAACTTTCCAAATCCTGTAAGTTGTTTGATTAGTTATGTTTTACGATTGTTGTATGTTGGTTTGTTGCAGATTTTTATTGGATTATTGCTGCAATCATATTGTTATTGTTGATATTGTCGATGCTATTATGGTTTATATTGATCAATCGTCGTCGCCAACGAATCAAATCATCATTGATACATGGCAAAACTGGACGTTCCGCAATCAATAGTCCAATGAATTTATCGAAAATGACGGCAAAAATTGCCAGTACAAAAAGTCGTAAAAGTATGGCACAGGCTCAGAAAATGAATAGCAGCCGAAATGTTATGGCTAGCAGTCGCGCAAATAATGTTGGCCATAATCCATTATCCGGTGGATCAGCTCGTTTAACTGCACGTACTGGACTTGCTGGTAAGATCAGTAGAAAATAGTAACACTAATACCAATCGATATAGCCACAAATGGTTAATGGACAACATAAAAATCATCTATTATATAATTTAATCAAAAATTACCAATAAATCAAACTTTACCAATGCATTCATTCATTCATTCAATCTAATCGAAATGGCCAACAACAGACTTACAAACAAGAGTTTTTTGCCTGTTGAAAGTTCGAATTTAGAAAAATGAAATAAATAAATTGTTTAGACGAAAATGATTGCTGCTTGTTACTAAATCAATTTAAAAATGAATTGTTGGCTAATTGACAACAATACAAATCAAAACATTCATTAAATGAATTTTCAAGTAGAACTAAGTGGCTTTTTGGTTTCGATTGAAAAATGTCAAAGTGGACATTGAACATTGGCCTTTGTCTGATGTGGATGATTGTGATTGAAACATGGATTGTAATGACACAAAGAAGGGATCAATACCTTCCAAAACCACATGCAACAGATGTGAGTATTGATTTGAAAAGGAAAAATGAATGAATAATGAATGTTGCATTTTACAAAACAAAGACAATCTGCCAAAGTTTCCAGCAAAATAGTGGTAGCAATTTGAATATACTGGCAATTGGAATAACGAGGGATGGATATTTAAGATTGATAACCAAGAATAACCTAAGTTATGTTATGCCAGCTTATGCACTGGAT